CATCATAAATCATTTATTGAGGTGATTTAGGTAGATAAACAGTACTCTGTGCCTTGTTTTTTAACAGTTTTATTTAGCTTGCACTAATATTTTAAACTGACTTCAAAAAAAAAAAGATTCTCAGTTTGACCCAGTATGTATGTATGTATGTATGTATGTATGTATGTGCGCTATTATCTGGCGATTAACTGAACCGATTTTGATGCGTTTTCAGAAAAGTGTTTATAACACTTAGGAGGTTTATTAATTAGACTAGAAAAAGAAAAGCAGGGTATGAAGTCGGTTTTTAAAACGTACTTTATAAAAGAATTATTATGTATTACAGTGAAACTTGGTTAAGTGGGACCTGGATAAGTGAGAAACCTCCATAACTGGAACTCATGCTGAGGTCCCAACACTTTGGCACTGAATTACCTCTGTTAGTGGGACAAGGTAAACCTCTATATCTGGGATTTATTCTTTCGATTTATCATCATAGTTACCTCTATAACTGAGACAGCGAATAAATTTTATATGCATAAACCTCTGTAACTGAGATAACATTGTTTTATTCTACCCACAAATTCCACACGTAATTCCAAGTCCACCTCTATTAATCGAACCCTCTGTAAATGAGACACTGGGTAAGTGGAATACCTCTTTAAGTGAAACGACATTGCAGGTCCCTTGATGTCTCACTTAACCAGGTTTCACTGTATTTATTTATTTAGACTTAGTACAGTAACAAACGTACAGGTGGACTTAATGCCTTGGGCATTGTCTCACAGTCGACCTTAAGGTGATGCAGAGATGAAAGAGGTAGGTGACTAAGCAAATATTATTCTTATACTATTATATAAAGCTGAAGAGTTTGTTTTTTTGTTTACTTGTTTGAACGCGCTAATCTCCGTAACTACAAGTCTGACTTGAATAATTCTTTTTGTGTTGGATAGCGCATTTATCGAGGATTGCTATAGGCTATAAAATATCACGCTACGACCAATAGGAGCTGAGGGAAGCGTGTGAAACCGCGCGGAAGTAGTAATAAATAATTATATATAAATACTTACTTAGATAATTACATATATATACAGTCATACATATATATGTATACATAGGTACATCCAATACCTATATCATATAATAGTATTACTTGTTTATAAGTGGCCTCAGATTTGAAATATTTCTTTTACCTTTCTGTTTCCCAAAGAAGATGCACAGCTTCGTGATACCGTTCTCTACTAGCGCTCGCTTCACGACTGCTTGCGAGTCTGTCAGGAGATACGATACTGTTGACCGGACCTGGGACGAACAGATAAACAGTAAGTCAGATTAATTACGGTACTCAAAGGCATTTAAACTGTCAAACACCGCGAGGACACCGGTGACCGCAACCTATTGTTCTTTAATTGTGTCTATAATGACGGTACTCAAAGGGTTTAAACTGTCAAACACCGCGAGGACACCGGTGACCGCAACCTATTGTTCTTTAATTGTGTCTATGATGACGGTACTCAAAGGGTTTAAACTGTCAAACACCGCGAGGACACCGGTGACCGGAACCTATTGTTCTTTAATTGTGTCTATAATGACGGTACTGAGAAGGTTAATAATGGGTGGTATTTAATACTTTAAGTGTAAATTCCCTTTTTTCAGTTCAATCAAAATGATCGAAATTACCACCAAAAATACTGAATTGCACACTAAATTTGTTCATCAAATAAATCAATCATACTATACTGTTAGATATTTAAAGTTTAACTGTTTTACTGAATGACTATCTTTTAACTAAAAGTAAATGTAATAATTCTTCGAGTGCAACAAAATCTTAACCTAACCTAACCTAACCCATAATCTTAAGGTCGTGAAAAAAAAAACAAAAATTAACCTAATATTCAACAATTTGTATGCAAATCAGTATTTTTGTTTTACAGCTCATTTTTTTGATATGCAGAATGTTATTAGTGGAGAAATGTGGTTTGCTTAAATTTTTAAATAGAGGTGCAAAAAAAAATCCCCTTTAAAAATTACTTAGTAATTGTCCTTGGTAATTGTTTTCGAAATAAAATCGTTCGTAATTTCACCTCATCGTTCGCTTAAAAAATTGATGTGTAAAAGTGCTGCCTTGTAGCCTATTTGCAGAAATAAATTCACTTGTTTTTTTTCTTTTTTTTTTTAAATCATTGCCCCACAATAGGATTTTCTTCTGTGCCGTGGGTGCTTTTACAAACATACAAGTTCATATACACATCACACCCAGAACAGGAATAACAATCTGTGGATGACATAAAGAGTTGGTCCGTGCGGGAATCGACCGGTAACGCACTTGTAACGCCTCTGGTGTTTCAGGTGTCCATCAGCGACGCTGATTGCTTACCATCAGATGATCTGTCTGCTCGTTTACCGGATTATGCCATAAAAAAATACGTATGGAAATGTTAATAACATACCATTTCATGTAGTGCAGATAGTTCGGTCTCATAATTAATGTTAGCTGCCTCTTTGTCCACCATATTCTGTGTCTGATCTAGAAATCGAACCGCTGTTTCTGCCAATCTCGCTGAAAATAATATATTGTTTAATTAATATATACAGCTATTAGTTGTTGCGCAAATATTGCGCTAATGTTGTGTACTGGCGCTAAACTGAGGAAAGTTAGCGCAAACAATATAATATATAATTAGCAAAAGTGAAAGACATTAGTGGTAGTTTTTTAGCCAGATTAAAATGAAAATCGTTTGTTCGTTCGATAAAAGATCCGTGAATAGATTTGTTGTTTATTTTTCCATAAGCGCTAAGAAGGCATGAATATAATCGTAGTTTTGTAAGGGGTTTGTATACTAAACAACAATCAAGTTAAACTACAAAACTTACCAATATTATTAGCATAAGCGATCCTGACAGGCACACTGGGGTCGGTGGCCCTGGGCGCCAGCTCGGGCAGTATGTACTCCGGGAACACGTTGCAGTCCGCGTGCGGCAGCCCGCGCACGGCCGCCACGGCGCGCGCGCAGGTATACACGGCGCGCGCGCGCACGCGGGACATACTGTCGTGGGACAACTGGATCTGTGGGGGGGATGCTTCATCATCATTGTCACCGACATATCAGCACAAGACAAACAAAGGCCTAAGAATTTTTAAGAATTTTAAATAAAATTTTAAGATTTTTTTATGCGATAAGTCTTGTTCTTCTTGATTGATTGATTGTTCTTTTTACTATGAGAATCCTCGTCCCTTAGTAACAGTGCGACTCAGGATAAAAAGTTAAGAAAAAATGCCCAACATTATCTTGAATTAAAGTATTGTTGGGTACATTGTTAGTACTATCACAGTCATGATAAAAATGTTCGCAACAGTAGAGTACTCTCCTATATTTTTTAATGTGCGTCTGGTAGATTAATTTAAAACATTAGACACGTATTTTTTCTTTTCTCACAAAATTATGTACCATCGACGATATATTCATTTGAAATATCGTGTGATGTAACGATCTTCCACTCCTAAATTAAACTCCGTTTTATCTAAGTATTGTAACATTATATGACTAAATAATATAAAAAATACGTGTCTAATATTTTTTTAATGTCTGTTAATGTATATGTACTGACGGACTAATTAGGTTTTTAACTTCATACCCTATCTACTACCCTATTGTAAATTAATGAAACTTGTACTTACGATATACGGCAAAATCCTGTCCAATATAGTTTCTGAACTACAATTCTCACACAGCAACTGCAAAATCTCCAAACTATACAATTTCGAGGTACAATGATGCAAGCCTCTAATACATGACGTCACTAGTGACGTAATCAAGATCAACCCTTCACTGTCGGGGCTCAGTTCTTTAATCTCAGGCGCCTTATCGTCCTCATCGTCAAAATCTGTAGTATTTACATTTAAAACTTTAAAATTGTCTTTTAATTTGTCAATATTGTCCACTGATTGGTGTTCTGTGGTCTCTTCGACCAGATCTTTGTAGTTTTTGGCATCTGAAGGTTGAGTGAATATTTTTATTATGTTCTTAATGTCTTGGTGGATGCGGAGTATTTTCTCGTCTGCTGGTAGAATTGGCTGGCCGGAGAATATCAGCATGTACGATTGGAGGAACGAGTAAAAGTACTCGGGGAATAATCTGGAACAAAAATAGGAGGAAATTAGAGGAAGATTTAGTAGTTGTCATTTTATAAAGTTTGGTTTGATGTAGAAAAGAATGCAAGCGGATGCATTTAAGTTGTACAGTGAACTTTAATTTCTACTGAAAACAAATAAGGTATGATAACAAGTCTGAGAATTTATTACTAAAGATTATTAAGGAACTTTTTTAGTAATCCCAGTAATCCACAATATTCAATTGTTATTTGTAACAAAGTAACGAACTCTAGATCTGCACAAAAAAATCTGTAATAAAAACAATTGGAACAAATAAAAAGTCTTAAATACTTCAAATTATAAAAACTATTAAAAATTGTACTCACTTCCCCCTAGCTTCATCAAGATACAGCTCAGCAGACTTCCTATCCCTGGGGTTTCTTTCAGTCATGGAGTGCAGTAGATTCTTCAGGTCTTCATCATCAGTGCTGAGGGTCATGGTGGAAGGTCTGTCCTCACCGTTACGGTACGCGAGGAGACCTGGCAGGTCCAGAGCTGGGGTCCCATCGTTCCATAACTCGAGGAGGGCACAACTGTGGAGGATTGTAAAGTGGGTAAAAAGAGGGTAGACATGTCTGTGACGTAGTTTCTTTTGTTATATTGGTTTGCCCTCCTCTATTAAGGCTTTTAGAAAGACGAAAAACGAGTGTTTTATGTAAACTCCTACTATTTTTTGTTTAAACTCGCTAATCTCGGTAACTACTGGTCCGATTTGAATAATTCTATTTGTGTTGGATAGAGGATTTATTGAGTAAGGTTATATGGTATAAAACATCATGCTACGATCAATAGGAGCCGAGCAGGGCGGGTGAACCGCGCCGAAGTAGCTAGATTATTGTGCGCTGTTTTACTCGTGGCTTGGCTGTTATGGGTCGTAGCATAATGTAATATGGCATTCCTGGACAAATTATCTATTTAACTCGTCGAGTACCGTCATTATAGACACAATTATAGAACAATAGGTTGCGGTCACCGGTGACCGCTTGGTGTTTGACAGTTTAATACAAAAGTATTTTTTTTTGTGCGAACGAGTAGTTCTGTAGCCAACTGTGGTGACACTAATGTGTTGACATTTTTTATGTGTTCTCAAGTGCGTAGCTGCGCCTGCGACCCTATAGCTAGATTGCTATTCTCTGAACACATCGATAGTACAGTTGGTAAAGCCTCTCGTAATCTTGGATTTGTAATGCGCACATGTAAACCATTCAGAAACCTTCATAGTCTCAAGATTGTGTATCTTGCTTATGTCCGCAGCACATTGGAATATTGCAGTCCTATCTGGTCTCCTCTATATAATATTCATATATCTCGTTTGGAGAATCTTCAGAAACGATTTATAAAATTTTTAAATATTAAAAGCCATAAACGCCACGCATCTTATCTGACGGATTGTAAACATTACCACTTATTGCCACTTGATGACAGACGGCAGATGTTGGACATGCTCCTTCTTTATGATATCCTGCGGGGTGGGATAGATAGCAGTGATCTCTTGTCATGCGTTGAGTTCTGCACGCACAGGTGTCGAACAAGACATACTCACTTGCTTAGTATACCCTCACATCGTACGAATTATGGGAAAAATGCTGTTATGACTCGACTACCTCGCATTTACACAGAGAAGTTTGAGAGTGTGGATATATTTAATTTGTCAAAGGTATCCTTTCGTAAGTCGCTTATACAAATACTCACTAGTGCGTGACTCTTATAACATTATTATTCTTCTTAATTATTGCTTTATAAAAAAATGTCCTTGATTGTTTAATTTTATTTTATATTGCTCACTCTCCTACTTTTACCTAACGCATGCTGAAAAACTCTGTTATTGGCTTAAGTTTCCATGCCTTGTCATTATTATAGATGTAGCATTTACTAAATAAGCTGTTGAGTTTTCTGTAATAAAAATAAATAAATAAATAGCGTTAGCACGCCAGTCGTCTCCCAGCTTTATTGTTAACCAGTAATACTATTTTGCAATTTTAAATTAGTTGTGAATTGTGTATTTCTTAGAACAACATAAACACAAAGTTTTACCTATTTTAATTTGAACTTTCATTGAACACACGAATTATTCTGGAGTCAAGTGAATTTAAATAAGAATACACACTACATACTAAATTGATGACCCCGCGAAAATTTTTCCGTGTAAATTTCGTGAAAAATCGAATAATTAACATGTCAATTACTGACCTTGCGGCGATTACCGTGGCTTCGCGAATTTTGGAGTTCTGGACGCATCAGCCGAGAGTGTGGTTTATACGGTACCTCCTCACCTCAAAACCTAGGCCTCAAAGTTCGATTTGGTAGTGGATAAAATAATCTGACTTACCCAGCCGAGAATATGTCCATACTCGGTACCAGTTCACCAACTTTACAAGGTGATTCGCTCAGCAACAACCCACCCATTTTGTCGTCTCCCTGTTAGGAAGTATTATTATCATTAATATTTGTTACATCACAAACACACGTCTTTTATCCCCGAAGGGGTAGACAGAGGTGTACATTACGGCACTTAATGCCATTGTAGAATGTAATACTCACTTTTCACTATTAATGTTATGAGTTCCATGTAATAGGGGGTCAGCCTATTGCCATATACCGGGCATAGTTCCAGACTCCGTGCTACTACTGTATTACGATATTTATTCTTAATTGGATATTCGTCATAATGGAAACAAGGAGACGGACCACTTGACGGCAAGCAATCAGTGCGGCCATTGTCGCCTACAATCTGTTACTTATCTAAAATATGTTTTGACCTGTTGTGATTTTATATATAATGTAAAAAATTGGGAGAAAAGTAAATAAATAAATTATTTTATTACCAATACCAGAGGAGTCGCTAATGCGTTACCGACCGTTTCAGAGGAGTACTGTGTTCAACATTATCATGAGCCTGTAATTATCCCACTGCTGAGAAAAGGTCTCCTTTCACACGGTGAAGGAATAACCACCAAGTTACACTTTGGAAACATACCCCAGGTCTATTATGTGGGTCGGGTGCCCTCACGAATCTCTCAGGCGCGACGTAGCAGAGCCTCCTGCGTGATGTGTCGAAGAAGTAGCTGAAGTCCGCAGGATTATCATCAGGCAGGAAGGTTGGTTTGAATGATGCTATGTCTGTCAGCAGTACCCATAGCCAGGATGTCACCATTACGTTTTCTAGCTGAAATTAAAAACACTCAATAGTTAAATCGATGGAGCTCGGAACTGTGATGTACAACTCATTTCAATGTTAAATCATTTTTGGGGAGGTGGCCTCTCTAAGAAACAAACGAAATCTTGATAATAAGTGAAATTCTGAGGCCTTCATATTCGAAATCCTTTATGTCGTTGATCTGGGGGCAAGGCAGTGCTCCCGCTAAGTCGACCGCGAAACAAACACTGCCGTACCATCCTGTACTTCCGAACCATTTCGCAGCATTTTCAGGCCCCTATTTGAGAACCTCTGGATAAAACCAGAACGCAGACCAGCCTACTCACACAAAATTAACTATAATATAATAATAAACAAATCACAGTAAGGAACCCTAGACTTGGCACGACTTTGTCTAGATTTTATTACTTTTTAAAGATGAACGAGCGGCTCTATCGAGTCTTGGCTAGTTTTTTACAGAATGTTTTTGGTTGGATTAATTTTACACCGCCGTCCATTTTTGCGAGCACTGCTCCTCACCAATAAGATATTCTAAAGATTTTCCACAAAATCGAAGACCGTTAGGGTAGACATGCTCTGGAGTTGAGCTAGGCGTAGTGACAATATCCTTAAACTGGTCAGCAGTATTTGGGATGCGAAGGTCTGAACAATTGAGCTTAAGTGCGTGCTATTAGGGACTTACGAGTACATGCCCAAGCAGCAACGAATGGAAACCGTTCTGTGATTTTCTTGCAGAGATGCAAGACAAAATTACTTGTACCACTTACTTTGATATCCCCATGACATATCCCGAGTTTATGCATGCGATGCAAAGCGTAGAGCACTTGGAAGGTGATCCATTTCTTCTCCAAGGTGGTCAGGAATGGGCGTGTGGACATGCGGTCGTATACGCTGAACTTGCAGTACTCACGCATTAACAGACCTGCTTTGTCTGTTAGCTGTAAAGAAAATTAATACCATGTAGGTAGTATGGCATGTCAAAATTTTTACAAAAATTTCTCAAAAAAAGTACTACCATGTTGGTATTTACGTAGACTAATAAGTAACCCCAAATTCGACCCGAAACAAGAATTTGTGGATCAAACAGTTGTTCTATGAAAAAATCATACCTGCTATAATTTGGTACTTGCCAACTAGTAAAATTCAATACCTTTTTCGAACTGTCAAAAACGACAGTTTTCTATGAATAATTTTGTACGAGATTGTGTATTGTGACGTCACGTTTTCTTAGCGTCAAATTGCATACTTATTTCTTAAAAAAATGCTGGAAAAATATTGAAGTTGAGTTGGTTTTATGACCAACTTAATTTTAGCATTTTTCATCAACCAATGAAAGTGTGATTATTTTTTAATATTTTTTTTTTGTATTGAACAGTCGAAATAATATATTTTTGATTGAGGAAAGTACCCAATTGTATTGTGTCATATTACCTACATAGCAATTAATATTTATTAAGTGCCTTCTAATCGTGGATAACCACAATAAGTAATTACACAATCATTTAAAGGGAGAGAGTATACACTTTACAGTGATATTTACAGATGATATACTAGACTCAATATAATAGGGTAAAGTTTAGCCATACATACATACATGATAAAAAACCGAAGGGTCAAGGGGGTCGCGAAATTTATTTTTATACCAGGGGGGTCGCATCATGAAAAAGGTTGAAAAACACTGGGCTAAACTAATAAGGAAAAAAAATGTAATAAGAAATTTGGTACCACTACCAACCCATTTCCTAAGGGCCGTATTATACTAGCGGTTTGGAAGCGGTTGCGGGGCGGAGCGACTGTAGCGAACACGTCACGGTTTCGTCCCGTGTTTGTAGCAAATTATAACCGCAAAGTATTGCTGTTCACGGCGATCCCGTTAAGCATCCCCAACGAATACGCGGCGTGTTCGTTGTGTATTCGTAACGAATTCGTTGTGCGCCCGCTCCGCTTTGAAGACATTCGCAATTCGATAGTAGAAGAATAGATGAAAGTATCTCAATAATGACGTTGAACCAAATCTAGTTAAGACAGTACCAACTCTAAATATAGTTAACACCTTAAACGCCATGGGGTCGCCGATGTTAGTGGAGGATTGATCTTCAGGAGTTATCTATTAGAAGAAAGGCTTGACTAACAAAACTAAGCATTATATATTTTTTAACCTTCATTACGCAACCTTGTCAGTTGAGGGTACTCTTAATAATATTATTTATCATATTGAAAACTTACAATAACTCTTTGATACGGCAGACAGTTGAATGCAGAAGCTAGTTGCTCTTTTATCTTCAGGATCCGCTCCTTATGCTCCGCTAATGGGAGCGAAGGATCATGTACCGCAAACACCTTTACAACCACAAGTCCTTCACGGGATCTCGCACGAGCTACCTTCAAGAATCTGGTAGAACCGAGGCTGGAAAAAATGGAAATAAATTCATAATTTATCGCCATAAACCTGGAACCTTAATATATAAGTGTGGGAGAGCCATGCTTTGGCACGAATGGGCCGGCTCCAGTGGATTGATACCACGGCCTCACAGAAAACCGACGTGAAGCAACGCTTGTGTTAGGTGCCATCGTGTGAGTGAGGTTGCCAGAGGCCCAATTTCCCTCTCCTTCCCCAATTCCTGAATCCCCAAAATCTCCCCAATTAGGTGATTTTAGCTGCATACAGTTGTTATTACATTACATTATTATATGTGTTTTATAACTGTTTCACATATTCAATTGTTATTTAATCACAGTAGTCCCATTATGAATAATCCCAATATTGTTTTTCAGAGGTAGTGTCTAAACATCGGAAATAAGGTCTAAAAAGGTGTAAGTGAAGAGCGGTCACCAGACCTTTCGGACCTTGTCCAGTTAAATGTGATTTGTGCATTATACATCATAATTTTACTTGAAAAGAGAAATAAATATATACTAGTTTTCTGTCTACGAGTCTGCAAAAATGTTTGCAGTAATGTGTGTGTGTGGGTGGGTAGATGTGAAAACTCAAAACCAATAGTGTATGATTTTCAAGGTGTGAATCCAATCTGTTGGTTTAGTTGCATTCCTATATTAAATATGTGTTTCTTATCTCTTAGTTATGTTAGTATAAAGGTAATGATTGTATATTTTGTATAATTATGGGATAACATCTTATTGAGTACCGTAAAATGGGTTGAATAGGGATCGAGAGGTGAATGTGGACAGAAGAGGGGTGAATGAATACTATGAAGAATTTCCTTATATCTATTCACCCCTCTCTGTCCCTTTTCGCCGCTTAAACCCTATTCAACCCATTTTTTCTACTACCATATCCAGCCTTGAGGTGTTTTTAATTAAACAAAAGATCCCACATTTTTTCATAAGTTTTAGAAATCAGTTGTTTAAAATTAGCTGTTAACAAAGAAGCGATGCCAAGGCGTAAATTTAACTTTTGGACTTATTTAACAACGCCATCAAGTGATTTTTTATCAAAATACCTACATATCAATGTTAATATTGATAGGTATTACAAAAATTGATTCATACCTCTGATCGAACGCTAGGTCCACATGGTCGCTCAGATAATGTTCTACAGGATATATCTGCGACGGTGCAACCCCCACAAGCTGATTTCCCATTGTGTGATTTTATAAATTACAAGTAATTCAGTCTAACACATTTCCTGATTTATTTGTCTAGGAGTCTTGCCCTCCAAATAATCTGAGATCTCGGAAAATTTACTTATCTAGTATATTATTAATTAACACAATAATTACGATTTAATAATAGAAAATAAATCTTGAATAAGTGCACGTATGAATTCAAAACAAAGCAAAATTAGCAATTTTTGACAATTTCCTGCCAGCTGCCAGTTCGAAAGTTTGACAATAATTTGCTGTCAGTGTTACCAACAATTGTAATCGATTGTCCCTAAACTGTAGTCAAAACCTCTAATTTCTCACTAATTGAAATAAAGAAGAAATAGGCACAGATCGTTATTTGTCCTTAGTTCGCTACCCTCTCTAGTTTTAACATGATTGTGTTAATTCTTAATTTAGAATATAAATTTATTAAAGAAAGATTCGATAGTACCATAAGATGCAAGAAGATTTTATAATCTAGTATTACTATAATTATATTGCTTTCAGGCAAGATATTATGTTGTTTATCTTTTATTTTAGTTTTATTGTTGGTCCCATAATTAGGGAGAAAACGGTGAAGTTGGAAACCCAAATGACTGAAAGACAAATGCGTTCGGAAACTGTGAATATATTTATTTCTTATTTAGTTTTAAATATCAATGAGACTTTAAGATTTTCTTAATATTAAGACCTGATTTAGTAACGATAGCCACTACATAAGTAAAATAAAGTGAGAAATAGTAGTTTTTATTAATATTTTTTTGTTTTTTGATTGAATAACTGCGTGCAAGGTTTTTTTATTGCCGTCAAAAATCATAGAGTAAAATGACAACACAACTCATCAAATCTACTGTCATATTAGCTCTATGGTTTCTCTTTCCTTCAACAAACAAGCATTCCACCCATTTTCATTGAATTTGATATCGTTTGCTTATAATATTTCAAAGAAATGTCTTCTAAAAGTGAAAAAGATCGAGCCAAACAGATCCAGGACAGATGTCAGAACATACTGATGCAAATGCTGAAGGATGAAGACAATAAATATTGTGTTGACTGCGATGCTAAAGGTACGCGGATTTTTTCTTATTTTGTTTGTTCATTTTTCTGATTAAGCTTCATAATTGTCTATATAATTGGGTAACGTAGTTCTCAAATTACTGTTTCTTCATACCTTGCGCAAATTTCGCGTTTGTAATTGAGGTCCTTGAACTCAATTTTAAAACATCGAAATTATTCAAATGACTCACGTTATCTCGTAATAACTGTCTTACTATCGCTTCGCAGCATACATTTCTACTATTTCCGTACTCTTACTTAGCAGGTAATTGTAAGGAACGTGAAATAATTAACCAAACAAATGTCTGACATAAAATTCCTTCTTGGTTGAATGATTCATAGGAATGTGTTCAAAATGGAACGAAATTTCTAACAGACAGGTTCTAGTATTACTTGAATTCCTAATTAGCCAGGGCTATACCCTAATAACACTCTCGTATCAGCAAAGTTCAAGAAATCACTGAGTCCTTATAAAAAAAAAATATCCATAGATATGCTTGATGCGTTTTTGAGACCAATGTAAGCTGTCATTCTGCCTCTATTGTAAAAAATTCAACTGTATTTGTTAGAAAAATCAGCTGATTATGTGATGTCAGACTCATAAAAAATGTTCTTTTGTTACAATACAGTGTAATACTAGTATTTAAAATTTTATGATTGTTGGATAATATTTACTTTGTACATACTTTTGTTAAAGACTTCAGGAGGTTAAACATAAAATCAGAGTTCTGTACAATAACAATTGTGTTTCAAAAATCATTTTCTATAACAAAAAAAGATAATATGTCAAATAAGTTTCTGAAATTGAAACTTTATTTTGCTAAATGCTTTTCCTGGTACTTATTTTTTTTTAAAAAAAAAAACGTTGCCCCACATTAGGATTTTCTCTCCCTCCTGTGTCGTGGGTGCGTTTACAAACATACAAGTTCACAAACACAATGACACCCAGACCCGAAACAACAATTTGTGTATCACACAAAATGTTGTTCCCGGGAATCGAACCCACGACACGTTGCATGGCAGCCGGTTGCCCAGCCACCGCCCCAACCGTGCAATCAACTTGTTTGTTGAGTTTTTATATCTAATAATAACTAGCTAAACTTAAATTATACTTCTAAATTATTATTGTGATTGATTAACCCATAAATCACCAAGCGGTCACCGGTGACCGCTTTCCACTAATATTACATTACATTATAGACCTTATTTGTAATGTTTAGAGACTACTTTTGTATGACCAAATTTAGGGGGTGGATTTCAACGGGTTAATGATAAGCAGTGCCAGGTCAATAACTTTCCTATCATCAAATAAGGTTATTATCAATAAAACAATGTCTTCATACATTCTACATTATCTATGACATTCTGTGTATATTTTTAATGACTATTGCAAAGTGTTTCGTCATTCTTCCTTATCATTTAAAAATCTTTGTTTATTATCTGTGACAGATCTTCTAATGGTTATGGAGTGTTTCTATTTGCATTAAAATAGATATGCATGTTGGTCTATAATAAGTTCCATAATATTATGATTGAATGCATTATAATAATGCAATGGAGGCCAGTGACCATATTAATTGTGTTACATCAACTGTGGTGTGCCCTTAGAACAATGTGTTCAATACTTCATTCTCCTCATGTATCCGTTGACAAGTTTTGTTTTCGAAATAGACCTTTTGAACTTTAGGTTCTTATCTAAGGCATTGAGGCAAAAATTAGCAAGTCCAATAGTAGTACATAATTGATGATCTCAGGCCACCATAAGTGTGGGCCTGCGCATGGCGACCACGGGTGACTCGCCGCCTGATCAGAACCAGACCTAAGCGAGCCATTAGCCCACCACAGATGTGGGCCACTAGGGCCAATGCCGATATGGAGCCACGGTGGATTTAACGGGTTGTACGGGATCTGGCTCGGAAGTGTAGGTGTAGGAATGGGGTGGTTTGTAGTCAGTAAGAGTCTGCCACTCCCTCCTGCCCCACCTGGATGGGAAAAGTCATTGGATGACTTTTGCCCCTCAAAAAAATTAATACATTGTTATATGATGGCTTCATATCTAAAATCTGCATTGAACCCAGTGATCATGTTTCAGACAAGCCCTCTACATGTAAGGCAATATAAATTACCCACTAATTCTTCTTCACTATCTCCTTATCTCAATGACAGGGCTCTTAATGGTATATGTCCAACATTGAAATTTTTATCAGAAAAATATTTGATTACAGTACGTTATCTATAATACATATCCTAATATCACAGTCAAAATGTTAATTTCTAGAAGCTATTAGTGATCATGAATGTTTGGGATTTTTGTTACATTCAAAATTTCGGATTTTGTATACATAAAGTGAAGTAAAATAATATTGTTTTTATAATAACTATCGTGAGATATACTAAATTAAGTAAAAACGCGGGTTACTCACGTGAATATACTGAGAAAAGCTCTACTAGTTTCGAACCACAGAGGGGTTCTTCTTCATGAGCAGCGTGCGCGGTCGCCGCGACCGCGAAGAACCCCTCTGTAACTAGTAGAGCTTTTCTCAGTATATTCACGTGAGTAACCCGCGTTTTTACTTAATTTAAAATAATATTATGACAATGCATAGTTTGCAAGCCATACCTTAAATACTTTATTTCTTCTTGTATATATAGTATTACATGCATACATGTTGTCATACCTGTCTCCAAGTGGAGTAGATTGTCTAGTGTACAATATTACAAATAGAATAAAGCTGACAAAATCATTGCCATATCTTTCTATTTTCTAACCCAATTTAAAAGTATTATTACTTCCGATGAAGTTTATAAGGCTATGTCACTTTAACCTAACTAATTACACTACTTTAACCTGTTGAAAATAAGGTATATAAGGTAGTTAGTGGAGAGTGGTAACCGGTAACCGCTTGGGAATAAGGTTAACTCGTCGAGTACCATCATTATAGACACAATTATAGAACAATTTTTTTTTTTTTTTTTTTAAGGGGGGAAAATCATCGAATGACTGCTCCCGCCTGGGTGAGGCGGGAGGGAGTGTCAGACTCTTACTGACTAAAAACCACCCCGTTCCTTCTCCTGCACGTCGAGCCGGAGCCCCGGTTACCCGTTAGGTTCTCCGCGACAATTATAGAACAATAGGTTGCGGTCACCGGTGTCCGCTTGGTGTTTGACAGTTTAAACATATTTTTTCTGGATTGGTGACTAGGTATTTCGTAGTCACAAAATCTCAGAAACAACTGAGCAGATTAATATTAAATTTTCCTAAATAGATTACAAACTACAAATAATGCATGGTATTATCATATTAATTTTGTGGTTCTGAAAATTAATTTTAAAATTGCAATTAGTTAATGAAGACCTTGCATTAATTGCAAATTATGGTCAACAGGAAACTGGTAATTGTGTGAGCCTATCTACAACGTTATTTACAGTACATAGTGCATACTTGGAATTTTAATGTATTTCATAATGTAGGTGTTGGCAGTAAATGTCAAGAAGACAACTAATTATTTTATTATATGTATTGATGATTCTTTGTCTGTTTGACGAATTGTTTGATTGTTTGTCTGATGCTTAACTTGTGAATATTATGAATATTTCACTGTCTTCTTTGTTTAGGTAGCTTTGATCATCCAATTACCCTCCCAATTACCAATTACCCTTAATTGGTAATTGGGGGGGAGATCGGGGGAGGGGAGGGCCCCTTCCCCGATCTCCCTAATTCCTGAATCCTCAACGATCTTCAAATTCCTAATCCTCAAAAGGCCGGTAACGCACTTGTAACGCCCCTGGTGTTCCAGGTGTCCATGGGCGACGCCGATTGCTTATCATCAGGTGATCCGTCTGCTCGTTTACCGGCTTATGCCATAAAAAAAAATCGAAACTTACAATTATCGGGCGATGGCCCGAAAATTGTAAGTTGTCAATTACAATTGAATAAAATTGGTAGTATGTGTCCGCAAATACCGTTTTCCGTCCGCATTCCACTTAAGTGAAACATTGACCCGTGATGTGATTGATGTTTCGAAACCGTATAACAATCAACATTAAACAATCTCGATTTGATAAAGCATTCATTACACAAACTGATGGTACACTCGACGTATTGTTCATCATCAGCTGACACTTGACAGGTGTTTACTGTTTCACAAGGGGCACACAAGTAGGAAGGTCTTTTTATATGGGGCTAGGCCGCCCAGTGGCGTAATTATACCCTTTGGGACCCGTGGCAAGTTCATCGGATGGGTCCCCGTTCCCAATAAAAACAGAAGTTCAGATGAAAACCTCTGAACGGAGCCCCTTCCAGCTCGGGGCTCGTAGCTTTTAACCCTACCCTGTTGACGGCAGTGGCGTGCAGTCCATATAGGCAAAAAGGCTTTGCTTGACATAAAATGTACAAACGCGTTTATTAAGATTCAATAATAAAATAAAAGTTTGTAAAAAAACGGCTAACATAAATATACATTCACATATACTATACACGGACCGCACGCCTTTGTAAAGCAATGAATGCGCCCCGCACGCACCACGCATGCGCTACTATTCCTTAAATCTTGGTTGTTGGTTGTGACGTCACAAAAAGTATGCAACGCGCATGCGTGAAGGTCACGTGACTATGGTCACAGCAGAGAATAACCATTCATAAACGCAAAAAAGTCATTGCTGCCGGCCTTTGAAATTTATGAATCTGCGCCATCTATTGAATTTTTTGTTAAAACTTCTGAACACGTTCGATATAATGCGAATGTCTTTTTATAATTATGCATACTAAAAAAATATGTTTCAGGTATTTTAATTAAATCTTAACATTTTTACGCGTTGTCGGTTTACAGAAACTTTAAACGAGGAGTTGACTTTATTATTTTAAAAGTAAAAAGGAATAACTTTTGAGTAGCGGCAACTTGACGTTTTGATAACTCAAAGTTTCAAATTGTTATCAACGAATGTTTCTTATTGGAAAATAATAATAAGACAATGACGGAACTCCATTTGACTTATGTAAATTAACGTTTTGTTTTTTTATAATTAAACACTGGGTTGCCTTAATGTTATAGCTATAATTTTTTTATAATAAACACTCAATTGACTACGATGGGTTCATTCATTCCAATGTTTTCGGCCATATTGTTTTCATGTGATGTGCGATCGCTTTGTTTATGTTTTCGTTTAAATTATAAGGAATTAGTTTTAAACATAAAGTTGCATAAATATGTGTAGAAGTAGTTAAATGTATGTGTAGGTTTTTCAAATAGTGTATTTGTTTATCAGTGTCTAGTACAAGTACCTATATTATTCGATTGTGAAGTTTGTGTTGATAATAGATAATTTTTTGTGTTTGTTGAAAGTTAAAAACAGTAAGTTTTCGCAAAAATGTGTCCTACAACGACTAGATTCAGGTAATGACCATAGGCAGTACTCAAGTTACGAGAATTGACCCAAGTCAAAGGTAGGTAATGTAAATATTATGTACTTTAATGGATCTTTTATTGATTTTCTTGTTTGATAATTCTTAAAAATATCAACTTAGACTTCGGGTTGTACTGATTTACATATTAATTTATTATTAATAATTATGTAATGTAATAACAAATGTACCGCTTATAAATACTCGGCTCGGCCACAGCCGGCCGCGCTTGTTATTGTTTTGTTTGTTGGTAGGTACCTACGTTCTTAAATTCGTAATATATTATGATTTTGAATAGATTATCTAGCAATTCGATAATTGAATTTGGTTCATCAAATTTATGCTTCATTATTAGTATAATTAATAGATGTTCAATTATTTGTAAGTTTTGTTGGCTTATTCCATAGCTGATGAAGTAGTTCACAAAAAATACGCGAGATGTCAGTGTATGTAATTTGGCGACAGAATAAACCACAATATTCTTGAACGCACTTTTCAAAATGTATTCTGTACATGTACCTGTCTTGTGTGAGTATGATTGTCATTGTATGACCGGGGGGGAGGGGTTTAATCATACGATATTTAATTGCCTACCCTGTCTCGAAAACCTGTGCACGCCACTGGTTGACGGCACTAAGCCCGCAACAATCGCGCAAAACCGCTGCAACTCCTGTAATCTAGGATCTAGTAGATACAACCATGAAAACACTGGAACACTGAAGTCCGACGCAAATAAGGATTGCTAGAATCAGTGCGTGGGCAATGAGAAGGTACTACTACCCGTGACTTGTTGTCGGGTCCGAATTTTAGGACACATCCCGTTGTTGTCCGGGTTTGACTTATATTGTTATTAAACTCCAGTATTTTTTTTCTGTCAAGAGATTCGTTTCAAATTTTATATATTCTTGTACCTCATAATATTTTATTTGTCACCAGGACCTCGTTGGGCGTCATGGAACTTGGGCATATTTCTGTGCATCAGGTGCGCCGGCATCCATCGCAACCTCGGCGTGCACATCTCCAAAGTGAAGAGCGTCAACCTCGACTCATGGACACCTGAACAAGTTGTAAGTTATGCTATAATCTTGGTAGAATTAAAGAAAAAAATGAGAGGTTAAGTTTCTGAAAGAAAAAAAATAAAAGGTAGTCTTATTAACCACTCAATTCTTTAGTGGTCTTTACATTTTAAGTTAATAAGCAATAATAGGTTGTCGTTGGCAAACGACGAGTAAGCAGGCAATACACATGATGGGAAGATATAAAAAGATCGCTGGAACACGTTGGATGGAAGTCGCCAAAAAAAGAGATAAATGGTTAACTTTGGACGAGGCCTTCATCTAAGGTCCATGTAAAACTAAGAAACAAACATAATGTGTATTTACTTATTTATTTTGGAATTATTGCATGTAAAGCATTTTTATATACTTATTGCTTCGAATACAATAGGAACCTGGTGTTCCAGTAAGCTGTCGTTTGCATTAGACGTTGGAGGAACTATAACGTTCCCAACGAACTAAACATTTCTTGTTGATGTTGGTATTTTTACAGTCTGGCTATCGGCAGTTTGAAGCATTAACTGGGTATAAGTTTCGTTTAAATAAATTACTGGAAATTGCAGGAAAAATAATAATTTAAGCTGAAACACGAACAATATATATGTACTAACGGAAAAATGTAATATAAATAAACATTAATACTTATATTTATTTACTTTACTCTGATGAATAATTGAAAGCGAGGAGGAAATTCTAAGGATATTATGAAAATAAAAGTATGATCTCATGTACAAATCGGATTTACGATTTATTATTTTAAAATATTCACTGCTTATGACCCTACCTATGGTTGGACTCATTAGTCGACCGATGCTTTATTAATGAATTTAATGACAATTGCAACACGAAATCTGGAGTTGTATATGGCAATAAGTTTAATAAGTTTACTTATTACATGTACTATTATTAATGTGTGAAAATGAAAAACGAAATATTAATTATTTTGTATATCTACTCGATATTAACTTGAGGAATAGGTAATACATTTTTTCTAATCGCCATAAATATATTTTTGTTGCGAAATGATGAAAAACGTTATTAAGAATCGACAACTAGCGCATCAAGCTACTCTAATTTATCTTAAATACATTTTCAACTTTATTACTTGATCAATAAGGTTCAAAATCGATTAGAGAAAGTTCTCAGATTAGGATACTTGGATATGCGACCTGTATTTATGGGTGTAGTATTATAATTTCGTGAGGTCGCGTGACTACTAACTATAAGGAGGTTTTACTACGAAAAATACGAAACTACGTCAATGGACTAAAACCGGCCGGCTTCTGTTTAAATATGTATGTAGACTAGGTACATAAACGGCGGTGCTATTTTTGATTTCTTTCTATGGTGTTATTTTTGATTACGTCAATATTGTATGATGGCTTCTCTAACTAAATCTTAACAAATCTTTATTCATTATACTAAATTGGTCAATAGTACCTACAAATAAACATCTTAATTTAAAATCAGAGATCTCACTAAATTTGAATGCCTGTACTAGGAAGAATATCACAGACGAAAGAAGCATTCACAATATTATTATTTTTTAGGAGAAATTATTTATATAAACAAATTAAACTGATGACTTATTGATTGTTTTTTAGTAACGAATATGGTTTCCGACTTAGTTCCTAAATCAAAAATGTTATGCATAATGCCAAACTCTATATGGATATTCTATCCCTTAGAGTATTTGTAGTGTCGCGGAGAACCTAACGGGTGACCGGGGCTCCGGCTCGACGTGCAAGAGAAGAAACGGGGTGGTTTTTAGTCAGTAAGTGTCTGACACTCCCTCCCGCGTCACCCCGGCGGGAGCAGTCATTCGATGATTTGCCCCCCCCTTAAAAAAAGAGTATTTGTAGTATAATATTTAAAGTGCGCAGTTGGCTTCGGCCCCCTTCGGGACAACGTTTAAAAAAATATGTATAATCAGCATATAATTCCTCAGACAGTTGTAATATATGTATATAGTAGTTGGGTATTGAGAAACATACAGAAAACCGCTTTATATTAATATGCCGAGTTTCTTCTTTCTGGTTAAAAAGTACAATTATACATCATCACTTTTCCTCTACGCTCCAGGTATCTCTCCAACAAATGGGCAACTCCCGAGCGCGCGCAGTATACGAGGCGAACCTGCCCGACTCCTTCCGAAGGCCACAGAACGACTCCTCGCTAGAAGCCTTCATCAGAGCCAAGTATGAACAGAAGAAATACATCGCCAAGGAGTGGGTGCCACCTGCGCTGCCTAAGGTTAACTGGTAAGCCAAATTATTATAAAAGATTATTTATTAGATTAAAAAATGTAAGACTTAAGAACAAGAGGTCCTATTGGTCCAATCAACGTTACTGTCAAAAATTTGCTGTGCAATTCCTTGACACTAGGATATTCTCTACTCTACTCTATTGTGAATTCAGTCACATACAGTGTAACTAAAATAATTTTGTTTAAACTTAGCTATAATCTTCCTTATATAATGTTTCAGGGACAAAGAGATTGATGAAGAAATAGAGAGGCAAAAACGAAAAAAGAAATCCACCACCTCGGGCTTAGGACCTCTCCCTGCACCCTCTACTAGTGATAAGAAATATAATGTAAGTCATCTTGACTTTTATTTACGTTGTACTAGAGTACAATTTGCTGATTGGTTTTAACACGTAATCAATACATTTCCAGAAGTCTGACGTCATTCCCAGCATCCCGAAACCAAAATCGTCAGTAAGTCCAAAACTGGGCCGGTCTACGCCACCTACTGCTCAATCAGATGCGAGCAAAGCTTCCAATGGGGCAGCGGATCTTCTAGGACTGGACACTGGCTCCAAACCTGACGCAAAACCAGCCAACGATGACATATTCTCAAGCTTCTTCTCAGCACCTCAGGAGAAACCAGCGGAGACAAAACCAGAAGATCTAAAACCTGATCTGAAGACTGAAGAAGAGAACTTCTTCAAGCAGGCAGCACCAACGGAGAAGGAGAAGTCAAAGTTAACAAAGGACAGTATATTAGCCTTATACAGTCAGACTCCATCAACTAATTTAGTGAACCAATTCAACCCGGTACCACCAGTACAACCGGTGCAACCTGCCTACCCAGCGTTCGGCAACGTGTATCAAGCCGGTTACAGCAACATGCCTGTACAAAACGGTATGCCTGCACAATTCAACCAATTTCCAATGAACAGTCAGTTTCAGCAACCATTCCCCGGACAGGTACAGCAACCGTTGCAGAATCAGCCGTTTCAAAGTAATCAGTCATTTCAAAGTAATCAGTTTTTCAACCAGCCTCAGCAAGGTTTGTCGCAACAGTTTAACAGTTTGAACTTAGGGCAAAGTTTTCCGAACGCGTTCGCGTCGAACAACACGAACGTTGCTAGCAACACCACTTGGCAGTAGACTGTAATGTAGTATCTTTTTTTTTTTATTTACCGCAGATGTATTTTTGTATGTAAAAAGCTGATACAGTCATGTAGTGAGATTTGTAAATTTAATTTTTTATAGTTATTGCCAGAATTTTTGTTTTCTCATTTTGGAACTGTGATGCCATAGATATTACCTCAATTTTGTTCTAGGTTTCTGACAATAGTTTTTAACTGCCAAACTATAGCTGGGACGCATTCAAGTTTGTCCCCCATATCAATGTGTTCAAATATTTGAAATTATTTGTCACTAACATTATCGCGTTAATTCTGAATGCTACTAAATGCAAAACACCCAATAATATTTTATCCAACTAATCAGTCAATTGAAATCACTACATGACAAAAGCTATATACATCTGCGCAGGAGTTTAAAGCATGTAGATATGCGAATAGAGGGCATTTTGGCTCGGTCGGCTTATTAAACAGTTTGTTCCTATATATAATGCTCATTGTAAAGAGCTACATTTGGCGCTGTGCGGTCGTTAAGAAGTCGTAAAGAGGTCTATCGTTTTTGTCACTAGATGGCGCTTTTGAAAATTATGGTCTTATACGTCCAAGATAGGTGTTAAAATATCAACTGTCCAACAGCTTACTCGTATCTGTTTAAAGAGGCATCTCGACTATAGGTTCAAGATACGTTGGGGACTCATTATTAATAGCAGCTTTGTGCAACATAACATAATTATTGTAAGCATTTAATATGTCTCACGATAAATAGTCTTTTGGATAAAAGACCTTGTTTTTCTTAGCGTCCAGGCATACTCGATAGACCTCTTCACAACTTTGAGCCTTATAATTAAAGAACATAACGACGAAATTCCACTGTACGCGATCGCATATAGGTACTTATACTTTTTCAATAAAATGCTATTTTATTTTTTTATTCTTATTATTGTAAAGTGGAATGTTCATTGTGAAATTATGTTATTGAAGTATTGTAAATTTAATTATTATTGTTATTGGTTTTTATTATTTTGTTAGGCTGCACCGCGCCTATTGTGCAGCTGATGTAGCTTGGGGGCTTTGGAATAAGTGGAGACCACTTTATAAAGAAGATAAAGCAGAAAGATACGATATTTAGACAGTATTTTGCTGAAAAATCAACCTTATTTCGTGTACAGAGAAGTCATATTTAAAAAGCAAGGCTTTAATTGGTGGTTTATCAATGTGAACAACCTTGTTTTTGCAGTGTCAAACTAGACACTGACCCATTTTTCTAAAACTCTTCACTTATTCTGAAGTTACAGTTATCTCTTGTAAATTAACCTTATTTCCCAAGGCATAGAATTCAAAATGCATTACATAGTGTTCATTTTTCCATATATTTCAAGCTGTGTTTAAATATTTGGGGTAATTGAAATTAGACCTTATTCGAATAGGTCGTAGAGCACAATGTAATCTAAATACTAATTGTATGTTTAATTTACAATAATTTCTAAGTATTTTAGGAGGTAGCGGAATTAATAAATTAATACTGAAATCTCCTGAATGTACACACAGCATGAAATATCAACGTTTACTTGTAATATTGCTATTTTTAAAACCATTTTTAAGGGAAAATCGACAATTTTGCAGATAAGGGTTTATTTATTAGAACCCCAAGCTAATAATTTCGACCTATTTCGATGTTGGACAGTGAAAAACGTGTATTTAATCCATCAATCAGGTAAAGAAAACATTAGGCACGTATTTTTGTTTGTAAAACTAATATAAAAAAGCATATTGAAGTTATGGAGGCTTGCTACGTCATAACTGTGTTTACTAACGTGTGACGTCATGTGATATTTTGACTCAAATGTATCGTCGTAGAAAAATACGTGTCTAATATTTTTAAACCTCATTCAAAATAAAGAAAATATTATTTTTTACGTAGCCATTCATCTTAATTATTATAAATTTGATATCTCAATTTATAATTTTCAAAAATATCAATAAATGTTTTATATGTTATTATTATTACTGTGTATCCTAAACGTTTACACTTTGATTAATAATTTAGCACTTTTTTAACACTATTTTAAATATCTATGCACAGATAATTAAATTGTGTTTGTGTAACGATCTTAATTCGCTCTAATTTTAAGTAGATTTTTTATTTTTATTTCTTTTATCGAAACAGGCGTCCCGGATTCGTAATTTATGGTACGTAAATGAAAAATATATTTAAAATAAACTCATATTCTAACAGATGTTTTATTTTTGTATTAATTAATTGAATTTATAATAGAAATCTAATAAATATGACATGATATTTAAATAATTTATGTATTAAATCATTGCATAATGTTTTCGGGACGTCTGTTGTAAAATTGGTGCGTGTTCAACGGTATAATGTCGTTTTTTATTTTATTTATAGATATTAAATACTATTTAATAAATCTGATAAACATTTTTCTCTAAATTGTAAAGTTTCTATATTAAAACTATTTACAAGTAGGAAGCCATTTCCATCTCATGCGTTCAGTCTTTTTGGTGTTGCAAGTTTACAAGTATTATTATTATTTTTATTGATAACTACTTGATATTTTTAACAATGATTTTGTATTTTAATTCGGGCTGCGCAAGTTTATTTGTTTTGGTCGTAAAAGACTGAAGTGCATCTTTATTTAGTTTTCAATATTTATCTAATATTTAACTTCGATTAACAACGTGTTAACTAACGAAAATAACTCTTATTAATTTTGAGGCAACATTGAAATTCTTGATAATCTATGTCGTAAAATTAAAATCTATAAAGTGGCTACAAAAATATGTGTAGGTACACTTCTAAGAACCGAAAAAAAATAATTTCAGTCTTCTCTGAATGTCTACTTGTACATCTGTCTAGTGTCCTATTCAACAACAATTTACTCATTCCAAAGTGTGGATTCCCAAATAAATGTGAACTGCATACATTTGAATGCCACTGAAAACGAAAATATAATGCGATCAATTAACGGAACAAAATGAATTAATTAACCGAAAGAACTATTTAAAAATTGTTTTTGGTACAAGCCTCCTCTGTATAAATATCAATTTGATTACGCTCACGAGATGTCGCTACTGGCGAGAAAGATGCTCCTAGCCAAATTTCTCGCAGAATATTCCGACTAGCAAAAAACTCCCCATTTCATTTTAGAGCTGTTAACATTGAAATCCAGCCAGAGCCGTATCATGCAACTTGGAAAGTTCCTAGAGCGCCAAGTAACAGAAGAACGCCGCGACATGCGCATGCCCATAGCGTGGAAAACATTAAGGACGCCTATGAGGTGCTTGTTTAAGGCGCTCTCTCGGTTTAACCATATGAGACAATAAAAAACATATTGTTTCAGACGTATATCTAAGTACCATGGGTTAAAGCGCTTCGAATTCAAGCCCTATCTACTTTTATGTGCAATAATGATTGAAAGCTTCAATAAATCAAACGTGTAACTGAATAGATCTTCATCTTTCGTCAGTAAAATGTACGTTGTGTAAAAGTCAGTCCTCCATTTCTTATATTATGTGACCGTGTTTGTAAGCCCGTTTTACAACTGATGTATTATTTTTTATTGTCATTCATACAACCCACTTTTGATGTATTTAGTTGAAATATAAAATGTGATTCTTATTAAGTGAATTATGTAATATAGTAAATGTAACGGGCCATTAGTCATATTGGCTGAATGTAGCCCTGATTGAGCCTGTATTTCGTTTACATGAATAAATATAATGCCAATACGTTTTTGTTTATTTTTTTTCTTTCTGAGCTTTGCTATATGAAGAAATTAACAATAGGTACCTATCCTATTTATTTATATTCATGTCCTATGAATTGGGAAGCAAACCTAATATTCTTTGACTATTGTGAATCACTGAGTCACGAAATCGAATAACTCTTAATTGTCTAGTATTTAGTCTTTATGACTGCCTCGTTGGCCGAGTGGTCGCAAGTGTAACTGCCGGGCTACGGGTCTCGGGTTCGATTCCCGGGTCGGGCAAAGTACTACTGGGTTTTATAAAACATCTCAGTAGTAGCACAGAGTCTGGAAATGTGCCTGGTATATGGCTCTTGGCAATAGGCCCACCCCCTATTACATGGGACTCATAATATAAATAGTGAAAAGTGGGTGTACAGAGGCAAAAATTTCCGTAATGTGCACTTGTGCACGTCTGCCTACCCCTTCGGGGATAAAAGGCGTGATGTTATATGTGTAGTATTTTGCCCTATCTAGAGATTGTTACCAATACTCACGCGCTTAATCAGACTTATCTAAAGTTAATAGAAATTTCATTTCATGAGACCTGATGAATGATGTTAAGGCTTCATATACGAGTAGGAATCTGGAATAGTTCTTGGAAATTTGGAACCTTGGAACAGTGTTGTTTTGCTTGTAAGATGTTCTTCTAATCTTCTGACTGACTGACGTCAACGTGTACCAACCCTAAAGAATCTATTATAGAATCAATCTCTTTAATTTTATAAAAAAAACAATCTCATTACTAATATCCTGTATTATATTTAGGTGTTTAGACAAAATAAATACCTACATTTTTAATTTAAGTGCGTATCATGATACCATGCCTATTGAAACGTTCAAGACTTAAGAGTTGAATGTTTCTGCGTGTAACTAAACGTATTCACAAAGCAGCTTGGGCTCGAAACTGTATTTAACCGATTTTTTAAAGTTTTGTATGTTAGAGGAAGTGAATTTGTGAAAATTTTAAAACTATGGATTTTGGGTAAGTTTAGGAATATCAAACAGTAAATTAATTATACTAATTTTGTTTACTTTTATCCATAAACTCGGTAAACTTTTGTTTTGGCGCCCGCAGCCATATTGTGTCAAACAGCTGTTGTGAGGACGACTTCTGTGCGCTCCGTTGTTTTTGTCGCTTGTATTAGCAAAAAATGTTTAACAACTCGTTCCGTCGTAATAAACAATGATAACATAGTGCAAAAAACGTGATTAATTAATAAAAAATAGTAAAGTGGTTCGTCGAAATGTGTTTTCGGTAACCAGTGAATAACATGGCTTGTGGATTGCAAAACTACGAGGACGGTGACATGCCCGCGGCAGAACTTGAGTTCCAAACGAAATGGAGCAGGTTTTCCGACTGGTTGCACTGCATATGTGTGGTTACGTTCGATTTGGAGCTCGGACAGGCGATGGAAAGTGTGTATCCTCCTGGTGTGAAACTCACAGATCAAGAAAAATGCAATATTTGTTATTTGGCTTTCCCTGACTCAAATTCAGGGTGTATGGGCGACACTCAGTTCCATGTCCGTCTGCGTTCGCGAACGGGGCTGACGCGGCAGCAACTCTTGTACAATGAGGATAGTGTGCCTACACTGCGCGCTGATTCTACGCACTACTGGGGCTTCGTGTACTTCAGACAAGTGAAGGACCCGTCGCTACCGCGCGGATACTTCCAGAAAAGTATAATTTTACTTACTAGATTACCTTTTATAAATCTATTTTATAAAGTTATACAGTTGATTGCTCCCAAACATTTCGAAGAAGGGGAAAGGAGCCTAGAGGCTGCATGCCATGACATTAACAGGTGGCCTTCACTCGACGCCGGTCAGAATGTGTTATTACCTGTGCTTGGTACAGTTTTTCAGTCATACATTCCTAACCAACAGACCGGAAAGATTACTCGATCTGATATAGCCAAACAAGTTCACTCTCCTAATGTACCACACATACTTGCATCCATACAGGATGTCAATGTATTTGATGTGTTGTCTAGTGTCATCTCACACTTACACTTGTTGTGGGAATTAGTGCTAACAGCAGAACCTATTGTTGTAATGGCCAGTTCACCTACAGAATGTTCCGCTTTAGTTCAAGCCCTCACTTACTTAATCCAGCCACTGCCATATGCAGCAGAATATAGACCATATTTCACAATACATGACAGTGAATTCAAAGAGTTCACGAGGAAACAATTCAATCCACCGTGTGTAATACTAGGCGTGACCAATCCATTCTTTACGAAAACATTACAACATTGGCCACACACTATTAAGCTGGGTGATGCTACATCAATAAAAACGAAATTACGAAAAGTTGGTAATCTCAAGCTATTAGATACTGCTCCTGGAGTATATACTCAATACAAGCCATTTTTAGAGAAAGATAAAGCAATTATTAAGAAATTACATAATGGTATAAGAACTGACCGCCCATCTGAGGTGCAGACTGCTATGGTCAAGAGACACTTGCTTGAACTGACTCAAAGCTTCATGATTCCTTTAGAAAGGTATATGGCATCTCTAATGCCATTACAGAAGAATATTTCGCCATTCAGAGCACCTCCAGTACCAAATCCGTTCAACCCTGAGGATTTCTTTGCAACACTACAGCAGTCTGGGCCTCAACTGACAACTGGTATAAAAGGTGATTGGATTGGACTGTACAGGAACTACTTCAGAACACCAAACTTTAGTGCATGGTTCCATGAAAGACATAACAATTTGACAAATAAATTGCATGCTTTGCAATTAGAGGCTTTAGCTGAAAGTGACTTGAAGAAATGGTCCGTTGGAAAAAAGGAAGTTGAGATTGTGGATATGGTCTTGAAACTCAGGGAGGTATTGAAGAGTAACCCTCCAGTGGCTGATAATACTAGGACATTGTTGGCAAGGCGATTGGAGGACTTGAATTGTGTGCTGCCAGAGGATATGAAGTCTATATTGAATGCGGCCACGTGACAGAAGCACTGCTGCGCCTCGAACTTGAGAGGATGCAGCGATGACTGCAAGACGCAATTCAAGAAACTAAGATATGGCCAGCCTATTGTGTGCATGTGAAATGTTAGAGCAGTTTATTAATGTCAAAAAGTAATTGCATTGCATTTAAGGGATTGCGAAAACGAAATTGCGAACATAAACTGTTTCATTGCAATAATTTGGTTACTTGTGTGTGGTAACAACCGTTTCAATGTCTCAAAGCTACACAAGTTTGTTTGTACTATCTCATTAGGAATTATATTATGCGTTCTAATCTAGATTTCAATTAGTTAAACGCGTTATAATGATACCTCTTTAGTACTGATAACTTTTATAATAACACCTTAGCTAACAGCATAAAATGCTATATTGTTTGACAAATTGATTCCATGTAACCAATACATTGTTTTGTTAACAGGCTTCCAGCTACCTAATGTTGATATTAAGTATATTACGTTAATTAAGGAATTTATTATAGAACTAACAAGTATCCTGGTAGGAATGACTGATTTTTGATCAATTTCGGAGTTTTATTCTATGAATTCAGATTCAGAATGGTGAAGATTTTCCAAACAAACAATTAATTAATTTTAATCACCATGTTTGTTAATATTCCTCGTTTTATAACTGCAGAGCATTTTCCTGTAGGTAAAATTATGTTGTTTGCTTCAAAAATGACTCAGTAGCAAACACAAATAAAATAAATTCAAGATATCTTCAACCAACTGCTTGTTTGCTTGTGTAAACAATATTGGTGGCAAAAATGAAATCGTGACTTAAAAATCGAATGTACAATTTATACGGCCATAATTCTCCACAATAAAATAATGTTTAAATTCTAAAAATTTAAAAATCTTGCCGATATGTCTGTATATAATTTGAATTATAGCGACCCTAAGAAATTGCGTCGATTATATAAATAGATTGTAAATATTATAGTTGTAAAATTAATACTAAATCATTAATATTATCTTGTAACTTAAACGGGGAAATGTTGAAGACCTTTATAGATAAAGATAATGTATGTTAAAACATTGTAATCCAATATGTTAGGCAGTTGTAAGTCTGCTAGTTTATAGCAGTATATTCAAGGTCACGTTGAAAAAAACGTGGTTTGCTTTTGTATCGTACCAGCATTTGGTACACATGCAGAATTGTCTATGCCACATGTTTTTATTGTTCGAAATTCGAATCAGGTTCCCGCCATTGCGCCATATGTAATTACTTCGTTTTACTGTTTCTTTGACCATTTAAAATCGTCATTTAATACATGCTACCTACGTAAAATATCGTTTTAACTCAGTACATTATGAGTCAGTAGTTCATACTCATTTAAAAATAAATGTTCGTCAAATACTTTAGGGTCGTGCTTGAAGGAATGAAAGATCTTTGCCCAGCCGTAGGTTTGTAAGGGATAGTTGTTATCTGTGTATGCTTATGTGAAATGTGAATAGTAGATAAAAGAGGACGAAAACGATTTTAAATAGATAAAAAGAAAGGCAAAGTAAGTGTAGTTGTATTTGTATCTACGGGGACATCAGGAAGACTCTGTTATCGAAAATCTAATTAAGTAATTGATCTTGCGGAAAGTCTGGCTTTTATAGGGATCCTAATATTTTTGTTTCTGTTTTCATTTTATAATCGCTCAATTTAACAATCTCAAGTCAATTACATCTGGAAATAAATGAAACTAATTAAAGGCTTTGGAATATAAAGTACTCTATAATTATTCATCTTTACATTCGCGGTGTAAATTCAAGCTTACAGCAAACAGTCCAATTTAACTAGACATAAGTGGTTAGATAATCGTCCTCCTTCGTGCTAAGTCTAGATAAATATGTGTTGGGCACATCGACATATATTTTCCTATACTGTTTTACTGTAAAGTATGTTTAGAATCTCCGTATCTCATGTTTATGTATCGTATAATGTGTTTTACGATTGTCAGTGGCTTTCGTCAGTCGTGTATCAGTGTAATCGTTCATTATTTGCCCCAGCAGATAGCTCTTATCCGAATTATCGTTTAACACTCCCTATCTGTAAGATAAACAGATTAGATGTTTAATTCGGTAACCGGGAGAGTGTAAATCTTGACTTAGATTATGTTATTCAAACTTTGACGAGACCGCCAACGGAAACAGATCAAATAGTTCAGTGATAATAACAAATTGATTTGCAACTGTCTACATAGTTTTCACTGCGGTTTTTGTCTGCGGTCTATAGTATCTTAATCTGTTCCTATTTATTGTAATATTAGATAGTCTATAATCTACCTGTGTTCTGAAGTTATGAGAGTCTAATGTAAACACATTTTTAAATCAAATCGATAATATCCGATTCATAAATAGCACTTTCGAAGTACTATCTATCTACATTTTTCCGTAATCGTAACGTCCAAATGCGTAATAATATCTACGTCACAACTGTTGATGAATCGTTCCTATATTTTATAGGTTTGATTACTTTCAATATGTCTTCGTTTAGCCCTATAAAAACAATATGACATCAATCAATTATCGTACAACAGTTACATAATAACTCTACAAACACTGACAGTCGTTATTCACACTATCTATCTATCCTTATGTAAATCATCTTCGCAGAAAATCCATCCATTTACATCATTTATTACTTTATTTCTACTAAAACCGGTGAATACTTTAATGTGCTGTTAAACGTAGATAAAGGAAAAGTATACTGTATAAATAATGATAAACGATGTACATTGTTATCGCTTAAAGGTTTTTTCTAAGATGTTTTTGTCAAAAGTCCGATTGCTTTAATAAATTATGATATTAGAAGGGCTCCTGTTACTAAACTTCAAGTAAATTATGGAGCTAAATCTAACTATTGTCGGGTATGTTTAATTCGATTGGAGGTAATCGAGATAAAATATTAATGATACGTAAGTACTCAAACTGTCAAACACCAAGCGGTCACCGGTGACCGCAACCTATTGTTCTATAATTGTGTCTACAAAACCGGTACTCGACGAGTATTCGAACATCAATTAAATTTTACTACTACATCTCTCGATTATCTTCAATTCGTTGTGAAATTTCCAATTGTTAATAATAACTATAACTGTAAATTAGAAGGAGTAAGTCAAAATTTTAGGTAAACGCGTCCACATTGGACGGCCAATTGGCAGCTAGATAGGTCATTTCAAGTAATTCCAGTCCCTAATCGCGGACAACTGCAGTTTCCTGTGGGTATTCCCTGGCCTATTTTGTAATAGGACCATTACAATAATATCCCCCACGCAACTCTTAGGTACAGTGACGTGCGCTTTCCTATAATTATACCTATTAACCACTTGAATGTCCGTATATGAGACAGTAGAAAATACATTGTGTCTCGCGTGGATCCACGTTTAGACACGACGAGTTAAACGTCAATAAACCAATAACTTGCGTTACTCTGAAAGTCAAGGTTTGATGACAATATAAATGAATATGTAAAACCCAGAGAGCTAACTATGTCCGTATTTTACGTAATTTTCAACGCTAGTTAGCCATGCTAATACAATTCAACTACATTAATTTTACGCGAATATTTGTAAATAATTCGGTGCCAAATTGTATTCTTTCTATCGGATTATAATGATGGCATTGTAACTTTTATTTTTGTAAGTAGTTTTTATATTAGATCGTACTGTAAGAAGGGCCTGTTTGCTCAATCGTTTTGAAGATGTATGTTTATGGAGAGTAGTGGACATATTAGCGAAAACGCTTGATATAATTTTGTAATAGTAATTGGACGTGGCTGCCTATGCAAGGTCTTAAAAAAGGTCTTCTGGAATAAGACCATCACAAAATAGCAGATTTCTAATTGTAAGTGTCAAAAACTTAGCATAGACGTATAATTAACTTATTTAAGTAATTTGTCGGTTGGAATAATTGCATAACCACGTCAAATTTATTCTATGCAACTCGTGCAATATGTCCGCGTTCGCCAATATGGACACACCCCTAGGAATTGTTATGTCAAGGTCGGGTCGAGCTAAGGCGACGTCAGTTACTCGTGGAGGCGATCTTAACTAGATTTTACTGGACTATCTGACCCACTTGCTTTGATAAACGATAACGTGTAAGAACATTTATGCGGGTGTGGCTTGTTTTAGTTGGCATACTCGAGTCTGGTGGCAGCATCTAGTGTCTACAAAGCTTTTCCTAAGCAAATTAATATAAGTTTAGGAAAATATATTGTTATTGCTGAAGGAAATTTCATATTTCATGGTCAATTCATGGTCAATATTATGATATTGACCATGCTGCAATCTATTTTATCATAGTGGGCCAGATAAAAAAGTTGCATCATGTACAATTTGTCACAGATGGATATGCGTCAGTAACTGAAAAGTAAAGCCTTAATTTTGTCACAAATTGTCTGTAACACTGTTTTTATGTTAACTATATGAGATTTTCTATTGTTCTACGACTCCCATTGGCTCGACTTGACTAAAAGGGTGGGGGTATTGTATAATATCCGCCCAAGCATTATGTATTGTATCGTTACTTATCGCCGACTCCACTAGCATATAACATATCCCATCGTATTCGCCACATGTAAATACAAACATTGTACAAACTGCACTGTGTAAAATGAAATAAACATGTTATTTTTCAAATATAACTCATTTATTAACGCTTATGCATATTTGTGCGGTCCTGATACGACAAGGCGGGAATATGTACGCAATACAGGGTGAGCTATCCATAAACTGTACACAAATAGTGATAATTGTGTTCAAGGCTGGTGTGAGTAAATATGTAAAGATAAATAATTTATTTATAGATTCAAGAGACTTTGAATACTGTACATTCGTATTCATAGTTTCGAAGACATGAAAGATGGGTAGTGACAGACTCCCATCTTTACTGTCATCAGGACATTTGAGCAATTTTATTACCTATTGACTTCCATAATAATTTATGATACCCCACTTTAGTTTTGGCGTAGGAAGCCTATGATTGGCAGTCTAAAGGCTAATTTCCAATTTTCTATAATCTCTACACTACATTACTCAATAAATATACCATTTAAAAACAGGAAGAATATTTATTAAGTACATTGCATCTATGGCAAAAGCTACACAACTTGTCTGCACAGTTTATGGATACCAAAAAGCACTATACATAAATCTAAACAGGTACGTGGAACATGGTACAAATAAGTCCCTGCGTCCCGGCAGATCCTTTGGCGTTGACCATAACAAAACTAAAAATAACAGTCTATTAAATATTTACAAAACTAGGCGGGTTGAATCACAATCTGTTGTATCGGGCTTTACTCCATATGTTGTCATTGTCGGTGATGAGTGTGTAGACTCCTGCGAGGGTGAGGCCGACTGCAGCCCCGAGACCCATGGAGCGCAGGCCAGAGGTGCTCTTGTATAGGACACCAGTGGTGGCAGCTGCTATGAAGGTGTTCGCTGTATCCTCCTTGTCACGTAGCCATGTGACGCCGAGCGCGATACATGAGTAGAATGATGCGATGATGCCGAGAGTGCAGCCTGTGTTTGTGCCTGGAACATTTAGTTTAGTTTTATAATATAGTGTGATTATTCTAATAATTTCTTTTTTGTTCGGTAGTACAATCGATAAATAGAAACTAAGGTATATTAAGTTGCAGACAACAATAGCTGAGGTTTATTTATGATTACTTTGATTTGAGAAAGGTAACTGATCATCCAATAATTCAATCCTACACTGCAATTGGCTCAATAGTGGATTTGTAGCAAAAGTAATGTTTTTTTTTTCATATTTCGATTTTCATTGATAATATGGGCTTTATTAATTGCCACTCATAATATTTACTTATTAATTCTTCACTCAAAAATCGAAGTTCCTACTACTATCTTATAATTATGACTTTTCTTTATTTTAATACTAATATTGTTCCAATAGCTGACCTTGTTTCATGATGTAGTTGATGACTTGCGTTCGTCGCACTTTGCCCGTTTGTCCTGCCAGTGTGGTTGCCCTCAGACCTCTGTATAAACCTGCCATTCCACCTAAACCTGGAATTAAGTTTGAAAATATTATTTAGTTTGGTTTTATGAAAACAGAGCTACTGATGGATCATTTCCATTCTTCTGATTATGCTATGGTTTGCCAGGACATAGGTCTAAGCAGGACACAATGTATGTTTATTGCAGCTTATATATTTCTTTCATAGCTTCAAATACTTGACAAAAACAATTCAGTAGTCAGTATTATTCACATACAACTCACAAGTCAAAAAGAAACTGTTTAATTTTCCTTTTTATTATGATTATTGTTCTGTTTATCAATGCAATTATGTTAATAAAACAGACAATCCACTGCTGCACTAAATGTGCCTATTCTAAATACTGTTTTTAAACTGTCAAACACCAAGCGGTCACCGGTGACCGCAACCTATTGTTCTATAATTATTGTGTCTACAAAACCGGTACTCGACGAGTTAATATTCAGCCTATTTTAGCAGAAACTCGCGTTTTAATCTATTATTGGGTATAATCCAATATAACTAGAACATAATAATAATAATACATCTTTATCTATCTTAGATACTTGTCTAGTCACTAGTAGTTAATTTATGAAGCATTTCTTGCAAGTTGGCTTGATGCCCACTGTGTAAATAAACATCATCAAATAACACTTTCTGGAACACATTTTCTTATTACTATGATACTATTATCTAAACCTATAACTTTTAATTCATATCAAATACATAGAATACACATAAATCTGTCTGACGCAGTGTTATGTAAAAATTACTAATAATTTTGAGGTTATGTTTGAATTTCATCATTTTATTACCTGATCCCGTCATAAAAGACATTCCAATGATAGGTAGTGCTACGTTAGACCTTCGAGCTGTAGATGCCATGTGACTGTCATCAGGATACAAGAATTCCGGCTGCATTTTCGGTATGATATGGGGATCGAAGTTCAAATAGGGAGATAGATTCGACCCCGCCTGCTGTGCTTTCTCCTCATTCTTATTTATGGATAATATATCGCCGAACAAAGACATTTCGATGTTTTTTACACTATTTTAACTAAACTAAACCTAAAACGTGATTAGATATCACGCAGCGAATTTTTGAAGAAATCGAACTTTATTGAAATGTCAATGTCAAAGAACCTGCAAAGGTACAGATTAAAAAAATATTTATCAATGTTGTCATTGTTGAAAATTGTGTGGTCATAGACAAATTCTTTGGTTACTAATTCTCTGTGGTATAAATGAAATAATGTTTTGATAATTTTAAATTGAAACAAGTAATGCAAGTAACAAAAATAAAAATGTTTTTTTAATTGTTTTTGTTACTTGCATTAACAAAAAAAAATGTTTTATTTTAAGTAGTAAATTTAAAGTAATAATAATGTGTAAGGAAGGTCTGGATCATATAGGCCGCTATGCTTTCGGAATTTAGCTCTCCATGTGTTATAAACAAAAAAGAATTCATATATCAAAAAATTTAACGTTTGTGTCTGGGACAAAACCATGGTTTTATGAATAAACTAGCGGACCCAACAGACGTTGTCCTGCATATCCACTTGAATGTATAAACAAAAATTCATTCAAATTAGCTCAGCTATATAGGATAAATAACCTAAACATCGACTGCAGCGCCATCTGCCGGGCTGATTTGTGAATGTAAACCATTCCCAGATACCCTTGAACACACACAAATAATTTCATCAAAATCGGTCCAGTCGTTTGAGAGAAGTTCAGTGACATACACACTCGAAGAATTATATATACATATAAAAATTAACAGAATTATTTGCTAATTCCAGTGAATTAAGAACTCCAGAGGAGGCGAGGAAGATAATAAAGACCGCTAAGCTTCATGAGTCCGAACTGACAGAAATCACACAAGTACTGAGGTTTCCAAACCCGAGCGAACAGAATGACAGACTGAAACTCATGTTATTAGATGATAATCTTCTGAAAGAAATTGAAGCTGGAAACGATCTGTTATTTAAAGGTAAAGTTTAATTTATAGTTTATATGTAGGTATACGGTTTCGGGTTCGATTCCTGAGTATAGAAAAATGGTTCACGATTGCCGAGCAAGCAGTTTTGCGTTTGATTCCCGGACCGATTATGGAATTTTCCAAATTTTTAGTATTTTATTCTATTCTATTCTTAACTAGCTGACCTGGCAAACTTCGTAGTGCTTAATTTTTTTCTCACCTTTTAAACCTTCCCTGGACTTCCACGAACATTTAAAAACCAAAATTAGCCAATCGGTTCAGCCGTTCTCGAGTTTTTACCGAGACTAACGAACGGAAATACACTTTTATTTATATAGATATTGTGTTGGCCCACAACGCCTTGCCTTGGGTCCGTAAAACTAACATAGCATGACTAACATTACAGGAGATCCAGATGAAAACGTAGTACTATGCACTAACACCAAAACATACGATGTGAAAGAGGCAGAAACATCAAACAGCCTTCTTCTAGTCCCAGAACTATTATTCGCAGCTTCAACAGGACTGGACGAGACCATTCAAAACGACTCTATAGAATCAGAATCCTCATTTGAAAAATCAAACGCAAGTTTAAACAAGTCCACAGAATCTGATGAAGGGTCAAGGCCCCCAAGACAGATAGTCCACAAAGATATATTAAACACTTTCTTCACATATTACGAATTGAAACCTTGCAAGCCAAGGCTGACAAAACTGAGAAAGATTCTAGAACCCACAAAATACCAAGGATTGGAACTAGAATATGCAGTTGATAAGTCAAAATTACTAAGTTATGAAGCTCTTTGTGAAAAAATTCAGGCTTCTAAAGCAGAGCTAAATGAAGAATTAGAAAAAATCCAAGCTGTATTATTAGATGGCCATTATAGGTTGTTAGAATTTGAATACGAATTTCGAGTTTTATCATACATGTTGGATCTTATTGATGAAAATTCCTGGCCTTTGGAGAAAATATCTAGAGAAGTGACTATAGAGAGCTTGAAAGAATTAGTTCCTCTGCCAATTTTGGAGGCTATGTTCAGGTTTTATACTGATCCGTCGATTGAAGAGGATGGAGTTCAGTTCTATCAGTATAAGCAGGATAAAGTATGTAAGTTCTTGGCCAGAGTGCTGTTAAAGAGTGCTGGGAAGTTTAATCTAGAAGAGTTTTTGCAAGCCTGGAAAGATTCTGTACCTGATGGCATGGTGACCGATGTAAGTATCGAATGTTTATTATTGGTTGACAGCAACAATTTGTAAATAGCGGCTACTGTCGTTGGCGGGGTTCGCTTTCACTCCGTTAAGGGTGCGTTCGTGTAAAGACAATAAAGAGGCCACAGCTTGGCGGCGGCAATCAATCAAAAATTTGCCCGTGATCTAATCCGTGCTTCGTTGGCCAGCGCAGTAGTCGGTCGTCCAACCACTACGCCAAGCATGCCAAACTGGGTTTCATAATTCTTGTTTCACCTTTCCAGGAATCTCTCCTGTCGGGAATAGCCCTAGTAGATAAATCCAGCACACCTCAAGTAGTTTGGGGATTTGCTGAGAGTGATTTACCGGAAGAAATTAACCAGCGATTCAAAATATTATTCCAAACGAAACCAAAGTGGACTGTCGATCAGATATCGCCGTATATTGAGTAAGTATTTCTGTCATAAGTATTTTTGGGTACCTACCTATTAGGATATAATTTAAGTCCCCAACCCAGTCAAACTTTCCACCACTAACGATTCGGACAAGTTTTGTGTTGTACTATAGATACTTTTTACTATAGAATTTTTTTCACATTCACCTTTTGATGTCCGAGAATTTTAAAGTTGGCCCCATCAGTGAGCTAAAATGTTTTTACGGGGGCGTGTCTATAGGAGGTGACGAAAATTTCATTATAATTTCACATTAGTTTACGAGATGTTGCAAGATTTTCAAAATTTGGAAATGTTTTTTTTTTAAACCACGACGGTGGCAAGAATACCACACGGTGGGACGTGTGATATAACGGTAACTAGTTGCTGTGGCCTATGAACGCTTGCAACACATGCGCCTTGCCGACCCTTAAAAAATTTATCCTATTTACTCCTTTCATGAGGAACCCCATATCGCAGCCCACCGGGAAAACCTTGGCAGGGAGGTCATTCCACAATCTGAGGGTCCGTGGAAGGAAATTCCTCTGAAAGCGAACTGTACGGGACCATTTGGGCTCCAATGTGTAAGCGTGAACTCCCTGTCGATGTGTTCAATATGTATGTTATAGATCAGTTATAACTAGGTACTTTTAAACACATTAAATGCCATGGGGGCCACTGGTGACCGAGGTAAACAGAAGATTTGCCTTCAGCAGTTTTTTATTTGCAGTCAAAACCTTAAGATAAATCGTCTAGAAAATTGAAGATTTTCGAGAAATCTATAAACCTATGCTTTAGAAATAATAATAGTCTCATAAAATTTTTCTCTTTTATTAAAAGCCCACCTAGCACCCTGCTTCCAGTGCTTATGATTGACTATTATTTTGTGATAGGGCTGTAGTATTGAGTCGTTATGCATTGGCAAATGATACAGAAGTTGTTTCAAGTAAAGTAATTAGTGTATCACAATCACTTGAATGTGTGTATTCAAATGTTTCACTGTGTTTTCAGATGCTACGCGACTGAAAAACTGAATGTGAATGCGTTACTAACAAAGTATGCGCGGGCGTCCACGCAAGATGGAGTGCGAGTGTTCTCAGCTAAACATATGAAATAGATGTAAGTGTATTGTGTGTAAATTAAGTTAAGTAATCATGTTATGGGCGACTAAAGAATTAAATTCAAAGTTACTCACTGAATAATACGTTTTATTTTAAAAATTAACTTACATACAAAATATTCTATACATTATTTTGATGAGTAAATTCATTATCATTCATATTATACATAATTATTACTTATTCATATAATTATTTACTTAAATAACACAGCCTTCTTGTTCGCCATTACTACGTTCTTAAGCCAGCATTTTTCGTTACTTTCGATTCTAGTATTTTATTAAAACAATTGTACGACCAGCGTTCGATTAAAGAGAAAAATACATATAAAAGGAATGTTCGCAACGAGTATACGAGAGAAAACATATAAGTAGTATCTTTACATTCCGAAAAACTTAACTAAGAGTTCTTAAAGCTATAAATCTTTGGTATAAGTTAAGATTGCTGCACGTTGTTCCTCAATTTGTTTAGTTCGTCCCACATTTCTTGTGGCAAATCTTGTCCTACTTCTTCCTTGAAATACTTTTCGATGGCGTCCGCTTCTTGGAGCCAGAAGTCCTTGGGTATACTGAACAGACTCTTCATGTCGATGGCACCGAGGTTCTGTGTGTTGAGATCACCCTCGGAGGGGATGTTTCCAAGTGGAGACTCAGTGTAGCATGGCTCGTTGTCACAGCGGCGGAGGATCCAGTCAAGCACGCGGGAGTTCTCTCCGAATCCAGGCCAGAGGAATTTACCCTGGAGAGAGAAAATGAGATTAGTGAAATGTTAGGTTTAGATTGAAGTTTTGATACCTATCGCTCAGTCGTAATACTATAAAGAGGTGTTATTTCATAAAATTATTTCTACTTTTAGTTTCTAATACAATTTTCTAAGAAAATAAAGAAGATTTTGGCGTTCGCCTAAATAAACTATAAAGTTGTTTAACAGAAAATATTTTGAACACATTTCCTTTATATTATTCTTGCAATGTGTAAGTAGATACATACCTCATCACTCTTGCGGAACCAGTTGACGTGGAAGATCTTGGGCATCTGGCGACCAGCCTGGGGCATGGACAGCCAGTGCTTCAGGTACTCGCCGAAGTTGTAGCCAAAGAACGGACGCATGGCGAACGGGTCGTGCATTACTACTTTGCCCTGTGAGAAGGAGAATTTGAATTAGCTCGATTTGTTAAGATATACAAGAGATTAAAATGCAAATCTATGCAAATTATTCTTCATCAGCATCTTTTGTCCGCTACTGGATAAGTTTCTTCTATACCACTATGTTCGCTTACAAAGATTCCTTAGAGGTAGGAGTGTGAGTAAACCCGATTTTACTAGTCATATTTTGTTACTTTTGTGAAAAACATATTGTAAAAGATGCTTACCGCATGTTCAGCTGCAGCAGTAGCTTCAGACCTCATGGTAGCTCCCATAAACACACCATGTTGCCAGTTCCTAGACTCGACCACTAATGGCACACCAGCAGGACGACGTCCTCCAAGCAAGATGGCGGATATCGGCACTCCTTCAGCACTCTCCCATTGATCATCAATAATTGGGCATTGTTCAGCTGGGGTGCAGAATCTGCAACAATAAAAAATTACAATTAGATTTTTTATTAAATTCCATATATCTTTATTTGTAATTTTTGTAATCTGGCAACACCAGAAACCATAGACAGACGTATTTTTTGTTAAATAAAGTAATCAATCCATTCAGCCTACCTAGAGTTAGGGTGTGCAGCTGGGGTCTTCTTGCTTGGGTCCCAGGGTTGTCCCTTCCAGTCGGTCAGCTTTTCAGGCGCAGCGCCCATGCCCTCCCACCAAACGCCACCGTCACTGGTCTCTCCTACGTTCGTGAATACAGTGTTTTGGAAGACTGTCGACATGGCTATCGGGTTGGTCGCTTCAGACGTTCCTGTGAAAAATGAATAAAGATATTAATTTTGTAATATACGTATTGCATGTTTTATTAATCGTAAAAGCTTTTGAGTACGAGTCTGACGTTGAATTAAGTAAAAAAAGTTAGAGGGGGTAAATGGTAGGTCAGTGAATATGATTAAGATTCAGTGCTGTTTTGCACAAAACAAAAAGCTTTACTTGTAAGTACCCGTTCACTTAGATAGAGAAATTAACAAGATTTTGCAAAAAAGAATCAGAATTTTTCAATAGCTTACCTGGAGCAACTCCAAAGAATCCGTTCTCCGGGTTGATGGCTCTCAGCACTCCATTCTTATCGAACTTCATCCAGGCGATATCATCTCCAACGCATTCCACTTTGTACCCTGGCAGGGTTGGAGTCATCATGGCAAGGTTGGTTTTACCGCAGGCCGATGGGAAAGCCGCTGCGATGTAGCGCTTACGACCTTTGGGGTCAGTTACGCCTACAATCTGTAGAATGAAAGGTCATTTGTTAGGATTTTTACAGATTTTGATAAAAGTACGGTTGTAAAATTTAATAGTTGGATTTATAATCTTTTTTGATGTTAAGGAGTAGTATAAAATATGTTCGAAAGATGGTAAGTATTAATCAAAATTATAATAGCAATGTTTAAATAAGTTACAAAACAATCATTGCTATTCTGTTCCGGCAGGGACAGGTATGGGTCATAAAATGTTCCTTCATCGTCAAACCAATATGAAAAAATTATCTTAATTTATATATTGTATTTAAATGTTTTTTCAACTCACCAGCATGTGCTCAGCGAGCCAGCCTTCACGGCGTGCGATTACGGAGCCCAGACGGAGAGCGAAGCACTTTTTACCCAACAAACTGTTGCCACCATATCCACTACCTGTTAACATAAGTAAAATATACGTTAAAACTATTGAAAGAGCTATAAAAATACTAAATAACTCCCAGGGGACCTTTGGCTGTATGTATGAGATATGTTTTCGCAACGATGCCAATAGATGGCGTTTGGAGTTACATTTTACTAAAGAAATATTTTTTCATATTTCTCGTCATAGTTTGATTTAATGTTATTTTTGTTTGGAAATTACTTTACGAAATCCACAAAAAAATCTTAATAAACCTCTGTAACGTTTAGACATCGTTTTAAATAGGATATTTTTTGTTATAAAACTCACCATAGCTAACAATCTCGTTGTCAGCGGGCTTGTGTAGGATGATAGTGCGAGGAGGGTCGCATGGCCATCCAGTCACACCACCACCAGTGCCCACTGCATGGAGACAACGGACGAACTGCTCATCTTGACGGAGAGCCTCCAATACTTTGGCTCCTGGAGACAAAGATACAAGATTCTTTAGACTTTGTTGCCTTTTTTGGAAAATGTGATATGTATTTTGTAAATTAGAGTATTTGTTTTGCCTGCATTATAATCTGTTTATAGTAGTGTAATGAAAAAAAGACGAGTTTAGATAAGTAACAATATAGAACCTAAGTTATAAATAAATGAGACTAATCAAAGTGCAGATTCATGCAATCTTATCGCTTTTTTACCTACATTGAGTGGCATATTTGAATAAAAATTGGATTGTAAATTACATTCGTTTATATTTTAGCAACCGAATTCAAAATTACAAGTATCCCTTGAAAATGAAAGCAGATTTATTACATTTATGTAATTATTCGAAAGATTCGCGCGCTAATTTCCCTGTCCTCTGATTGGTTTTCCCGAGTTCGGGCTCAGCAGCGCACCTGCGTCACGCCGCCGACTCACGCAACACGTGTTCTATGAGAACCCCGATTTTATTACAAATTCAAGTTTTAATTGTTTTTCTTTACAAACAAACAAAAATATAACCATATTTTATTACGAAATGATTAAATATTGTAATTACAAGCAAATTATGTAATAATATTGTCTTTGGGAGTTTGTAACTGTGTTTGCATTTTGTAAAGTAGTTTGTTTTTTACAAGTGCATGTCTAGATGTCGCTGCAGTTGTGTTGAGATGCGCCGTTTTGCCGCGCGGCAGTGTCGCGTTAACATGACGGCCAGCGGTAACATGTCCATTGTTGACGCACGTCCGGAGACCAGTCAGGGCATTGACGTCGATCAGTTGATACTGGAGATTAAAAAGCGACCACTGTTGTACACCAGAGCTCAGACTGAGTACATACAAAAGGTCGCAAGACAACGAGAGTGGGCAGAGGTCTGCCACGCTCTTTGCAAAAATTTTCGCCAGTTAAGCGCCAGGAAGAAACGCGAAAAAGGTAAATAATTATAATTATTTTCTTTCATCAAACTTTTCCTTAATATATTATTGACCTATATTTTTTTTTGGTTATGTAATCGAGAGTTTTGTTTTCTGTGTAATATTTCTCGACTTTTATGCTATTATTAAACTTAACAGAGTGAGTTTGGATTAATTTTTTAGTTAGAAAGCGGTGCTAGAGATTAGTGCGGGTTACGCGACCGGGTTCGATTTCTCGGTGAAGACAAAGAAATAAAATTAAATTGTACTTTTCTATAAATTCTGTGTACATTTAATCGGGGTGACAGCATTAAGTTTTGTAATATAAAGATAGAAAGTTTGCGAAGTAGTCCTTGACATGTATCCAGACTTTGCGCGCCCAATTTGAGATAAATCGATAGTCTTATATTTTTAATCTTCTTCTTTACAGTGCGGCAAGTTCAGTCCAAGTGGTTCCGCCTGAAGCAGTCGTTTCTCCGTCAGTCAGGGTACGGGGTCACGAAAACAGTTGGGAGGATTAGGAAACACAAGCAGATACAAAAGCTCTCGTTTTTGATCCCAACGACACCCGTCATGGAGGTAGATACAGGAGCAGGAGCCACGGCCGTGCCTGTCGTTAGCAACAACGACGATGATTTAGACCTTGTAATGGACACGCTCAAAGCCGCAGAGAACAACGTCCCAACGGCTTCAACATCTTCAGAAAACATCGCGACATTCGCTAAAGAAAATGATATCAAAAAGAAGACTTTCTTTATTCCATTGCCTAAAATAGAGGAACCGAAGCATGACCCCATTGATGAGAACTTGCATTTCGCACTGATGCTGGTGCCTTTGCTCCGTGGGTTGAATCAGGACCAACGTTTTTATGCTTGGTCAAACATCTTGAACGTTATCCAGAAGGCACGAGAGCTCGGGCCGAAGAAGTTATCGATTTTGCAAGAAGAGCTTCGTTACACAGATGGGGAAGGTCCCAATTTGCTCCAAGATCTGGCTTATGTGCAGCCAGAACCGGAGCGTCCTGTGGACGAGGAGCCAATGTTCCCAGCTGCGCATGGAAGACCAACTAATGAGGCCGGGGAAATTATGTACCCCGAAACGGATACTGAAGACAATGAGGAGGCTTAAACAAGCCTTAAGATATGGAGTACTCTGTATTCGAACCAAATTCTTGTATGTCTTTGTCAATGTTTAAATGTACATTTTCTTTATGTATGTCTATGTATTTCAGGGTATATCCACCAGACTAGAGTTGCAGATTTTGAGAGATGGATATCACCCTTGTACCATTGTCCTCGTGTCCCCCAATCCTCCTACCTTGATCCCCCTAATCGTGTATTCTTGTAAACGTTTACAATTTATAAATAGATTTAAGACATCCGAATTGTTCTACTATTTTTATGATGATGTTCGTCTGTTATTTTGTGTAATTGCTGTATGTGTGGGTTTTATTTTTAAGTAAATTAAATGTTCGGATATTATTAAGAGTTTAATTTAGTTTTAAAATATATTTAAGTGTTATGTTTAACAGTTCTAGTTAATTTTATAGTTTTTTAAGGTTACTGGCCTATTTGTAATTTCATTACTTGTCTATGTGTGTGTACTCACTATGTAAGCTGTGCGTCTGTGTGTCTCCTTTCGAAATAAATGTTGTAGCAGTGTCTATGGTTGTTTTATTTTTAAATTTTACCTAAAAGTCAACGAAAATCATAAAAATATCAATATTGGCTCCGCTTTTCCAAAATTCCTTGTTGACTATAGGTAGATTTTTGCTGGCGTCTTACTATGCGGCCTGTGTTTTCACTCGCAATTGCTATCATCAACCGCTTTGCTATTAGACACCTAATGAACTCCTAATTCAGCAATAAAATATCAAATATAGATAATTAACAGCAATAGCGAGCAGAACACGTAATTGGTCGCTAGGTAACACACGGCGGAAAATCTGAAAACGCCATTTCAATACAAATATTATTTATAGAAAACCCTATATGTTAGAGCGAGATACCAGATTCTCCCGCTCTATCGATCCGACGGCCTCCGAAGCCCAGATTTTGCAGCAACTCGCATCCAGTGTAAATTGACACGTTATTTTAAAAACGAGATGTATTTTGTTGTTCTTCTTGCCACGCCCCTAATGGGTCAACATATTTTGGTTGGTTTTGCGTACACAATAAAACTATGTAATTTGTGTAGATGTGTTATTGCGATAATTGATATTTTTGATGGACGTTTGTACTTACCCATTCGAGTCATGACGCGCATAGAGTAGACGACGTATGGCGAGTCTGTGATCTCCACTCCGATCTTGGAGAGAGGAGAACCTACGGGACCCATAGAGAATGGGATCACGTACATCGTGCGGCCTGTTGACAAAATATAACAATGATTGGATATTTATCTATATTACTAGTGTTTAAACCCTAATTAGTTGACGAAAAAAAGACGTTCGAATTTCAAAACTTTTCCGTCTTTTGTCTCGTATTGTAAAAGTCCGAAATGCATTCAACCAGTAGGAATATACTATTTAGCACATAGTGCAAAAAAAGGTTCTATTTTACTAAAATATGTTTTTAATCTTTGATTCTCTGTTGATTAAATCTGCCCTGCGTACCTGCATCTGTCTACCAATTACAGCATTACAGGAGTACCTATAAGCGGATTGCCCGGGACTCGGGCTCGCTGTATCGATTTTGAGGGGAGTCTGCCGACAGACTGACATGCATGCATACACAAACACAGATTTAATATAGACATTCATCAAACCATCACGCGATAACGAAACCCTTTGAATAGTTATACACTATAGCATAGATTGGACATTTTGGAGACTGGATACGGTTTCTCATTGTTAAATCGGAACAAATAGTCTTTTGTTTCTCCTTTCACCATAAAGTTTCCATTCCATTTTTTACTGGAAAATTGTTTTGTAAACATTCGGTGGTCGTTTACGTATGTTTTGGTGGGATATTGAGCTTTTGTTATGTCTCACCTTTGTTGCTGTTAGAACCAGGTAGCCAACCGGCTTCCGCATACGAGTTTAACTCATGATAACATTTACAAGTGTTAATTGATTGAAAGAACTGTACCTATTATAATAATAAAGGTCATGTTTGTGCACGCTTGCTTTACACGTCATTTCTTATCCTTGAAGTGGGTAAGAGGTTTTTGAATAACCACTTCAGAAATCGGTATTAGAACCTTAAGAGTTAATTTTTGAAAATACCCCTCCCAAAATTCCTATAAAGATAGCTAAGATACGAACCCAGAAATTCAGGGTCTACAAAACCCCGCGTTATTAAATTCCTTTCACCTTTAGACAGGAAGATTATAAAGAGTTTCTCATGTCTTTTAGGAATGTTTTGAACTCACCTCGCATGCATCCTGGGAATCTCTCAGTGATGGCCTTCTCATAATCGTCAGGGGCGATGTAGTTGCCAAGAGCGGACTTCTGTCCAGCACGAGCGATGGGTACCACATCCCTCTCCTTCTCAGAACAGATGAAGGTGCGGGACTCTACACGGGCCACGTCTGCAGGGTCGGTGCGAGCCAACCAGCTGGTGGAGGAAAAAAGGCTTTAGTATCCGAAAAGCGAAGATAGAATTGGATGGAAGGCGAATTCGATGAAAATTAAGTGAATTTTTGGCGTTAGTTATTAGTTTAGTAAGTCCTTTTGTCAACGTTTTGGACATCACTGAATATCTTGGTAGTTCTTCTTCTTTCTTTATCCTTAAAAACTTCTTTGGTTTAAATTTATGGGATTCAAATCCTTTATTCGGTACATAAACTATCTCCACTTACCAGTTGTCGTACTTAGACAGCCGTTTCAAGGTGCCTTGTTGCTGCATAATGTGCAGTAAGGCAGCAGCTTCGGCTTCCGAGCCATCACACACGTGGACGTGTTCAGGCTGGCACAGAGCTGCTGAGCGCTCCACAAAGGCACGGACCTGAGGAGTTTGGAGTATTATAATCATATTGTCAAGTAAAGGTCTTTGTTTCAAGGGGTATTGCAGATTTTTTGTTATTTTGTTAAGTTCTAATTTTCTATATTTTGACGCACCGTAGAATTTAAGACATATTTGTAAATATTAACAATAAAGACATTCTTTAACCATTTTGGTTCTCTAAACTTATTTGTTCATACGTATACATTTTCTCCTATCAGTCACAATAAAAGACATTCCCTTCAAACGAAGAATTCAAATTATCGATTAGATAATAGTACACCCCAGTGCGACTGACTAAGCCCTTCAATAATTTACGATAGCATTCACTTTGTAAATTGTCCTGCAGTTAAAAATAATAATGACTAAATATTTTGTAATGAATCATTAGGAAGAATCTTTTTCCCCCTTTTGAAGGTCATTAATTTATTGCGGAAATTATTAAAATGTTGTTGGTAATCTAAAACAATAGATAAATTAATAGTCATTTCATTTAAGTAGGCACATCAAGGTACGATCACGTGCATTTAAAAACAATGGATTAATTTAAGAAAATATGATTTAATTGGTAATTAAGACTCTGTAACTGTTAATCATTATTAATTATCATAACTAAAACTTCCTTATAATTAGGTACCTAATGTTGCTAATAATCTTGTCTGCAAAGAGGATGTCTATTAGAAATTTTCCTCTTGTACGAAGGACCAAAAAGAATATGATTTCCTGTCATAAAATCGATTCGTCTTGGCGTCAGGGTTATTTTTACCTTGGGAGTCAAAGCAGCGAGCTGAGGGTTGGGGGAGGTGGCGCCTCGGACGGCTGTCTGGTGGGCCGCGCGCCCGCATGCCAGTGCCACTTGAGCATACCTGTAACGAAAAAAAAAAGAAAACGTTATACATTGAATTTTTGACGTTTGTTTGCGCGCCAATTTCTGGGACTATATTGGTAGTAGTTGAATTTGGAAATTTTATCGAAATTCTTTTTTTTTCTTAGGGAACCTTTCACGGGTAGGATTTATAATACGAAGATGTCTTATGTATTTGTTAGTTGAATGTAATCTCCTATGACCTATACGATTAACTTACATTACATCTAATATTAACGTCATCGCAATTAATAATATTTCCTATGATCGTCATAATGTTGGTATAATATCAAGCGTAACGTATCAATTTATATTATTGGTAAAATGAATGTTTTTAGGATTTTTTCAAATAAAGTAGACATCCGTAGGTAATGTAACCTTGATGTAAACTTTAAAATATATCTGGCTATGTTTATATCATAGAGTTCGACGAGATATTTTACATGGGTTTACTTAGAGATTAAAGTCAAAGTCAAAGTCAAAGCATTTATTTCAATTAAACCATAGTTTGGTACTTTTGAAACGTCAACAAATACAAAATAAATAATAGTCTGTCAGTCAGTCCGTCAGTGAAGCTAGGTGAAGCTAGGTGCTCATTCCAAAACGTAGATTCGAATGGAGAAGAACGAGCAAGAAACTCCAAAAAGTTTATAAACAAAAGTTTTTTAATCAAGTACTCCTTTTGACATTGAAGAGCATTAAATATTGATGTTGAAATATGTATTTCGATAACATATTAATACTTAGTCAATTATTATTTCTTATCTGTTATGTTAATGTAGCGCGCGGTGCTGCCGTTTAGTTCCTTTTAGTTTAGAACTTTGAACCGGTCACAAAATGTCGGTCAATTCAAATTAAAGGTTATTTCAATTTATTTATCGCAGCACTTTGTACTGTTTCGTAATGTTATGGTGAGATAACGTGGATTAATTTAATTATAGGTAGACATTTCAATGTGTTGTATTTTTTGTAGCTATTGAATGGCGGGAATAAGGAAATATTTACAACTAGTAATAGAGTAGTGATTTGAGGATCGACTATACTTTTTCTACAATATAATAGTATTTTTGTATAACCATTATAAGGCAGTTGGGATTTACACCTAAAATTAGGTTGGTAACAATAATTGTTTTTATTCTGCTGATCAACCTCGATTTCTGACAGTAACACCGTACAATAAAACTACTGTCAAAAATCGATCCGATCGATTTGCCTTAACCAGACTTAGAGTTTGGCGGCTTGACATCAGCTATCAATTTCGGCTGTTAGTTAGTTAGTTATCATCTATTAGTGCTTGGACTTCCCGATTCGTGAAATTAACTACGTAAGGACAGTACCGGCTTTGGTTACTCGGGGCCCGTGCCCAAGGCCCCCATCTTTAGGGGGCCCCAAACACACACACCTGATACCTACACGTTGCGCGACTGCCACGTAACACGTAGCGGGTTCGATTTCCGCACGGACCAAATATTTGTGTGATTCACAAATTGGTTTTTCGGGTCTGGGTGTCATGTGAATGTGAACTTGTATGTATGTAAACGCACCCACGATAAAGGCGAAAATCCTAGTGTGGGCCAATGTTAAAAAAAGAAATGTTGCAAACGGGCCCCGAATTATTGTGTTCTCAAGGGTCCCAGTGTAGTTTAAGACGGCCCTGGCTATGGGTATCACATAGGTATTTCCCGCAGGAAAATGACGTAATTTTCCTGTTCCAACAAAAAAATATAAAGCATAAAAATCTTGATAATTTATGGGTCGTCAGAAGGAATAAAACCTTCAAAGTCTTCATTTACTTGTGTAATGTGTGCAAGGGTACCTACAATAAATCGAATAATGGCCATTTGAACGAAAAAT